TTTCCTACGACGAGATTTCGCTCGACGTATTCGCGCCACTTTATTTCCCGCTAAGAGGTTTATAAAGGCTTCCTAGACAAGAGCGTGCGAGTAGTTCACTGCTGCTGCGGTTCCTATGCAATAAATTTTAACTTATAAACACGTGGTAGGTAACCGACCCATAAAGAGTGCATTCGCATTTTCAGAGATTGCACGCTCGCCACCAAGCACGGCAACGATTTTTTCGATAAACCGTATCGAGTCCCAACAAGATCTTAACGGCCGTTTCGGTTGGAAAAAATCACGAGCCACGAATTACGTCACCGCGAGTGTTAGCATATTTCTTGCTTACTTTTTCCAAGATAATGTTAATACAATTAATATCGTTAAATAGTAATTATTTCAAGGAATAACGATGCAATAATGGAGAGCAGAAATATGTACCACATCGGTCGAAACAGCTACAGTCGACTCGATATGTACAAGTGAAAAGACCGACCGAGACAGTATACACGCTCGTTCACCTTTACGGCACTGGGTCACAGTGTTCTCCGAACGATCGATAGAGAATTCTTTTCCATTACGCCAGGGATGTATATCTATAAGGCGTATCCAGCGAAAGCGACCGATTCGCGGCAAGACTGTGGCTCGATTATTGAAATTACAAAACGACCGAGTAGCACGATCTACGATAATGTGATGTCGCTTACGTCGCGTCGTTTTACAGCGTGGCCGTAAAGTTAGACCTCTTGCCACCCGTACACTTCTTTGGATAATAAAACACCTGTATGCGGATGTTACGCGATTGCGCGTTTCGATGTTGCTTCTTCGACCGATGATGATTTCGCTTCGTTTCGAGTCTGATTCTACGCGAAACACGAAACGCGACACGCTCTCTCTCGATCCTTTTCAGCCACAGTTTCCTTTCAAAATCAAAGGACCAAGACCTTTTTACAAATATGATAATGGTTATCGAATCAAACGATTCTTCGAGTATATCGAGAAAAACAGAGTTATCGTTTCTGGCCTCTGACTGTACAGCGTGCAGCGAGAGTGATCGATTTTCAGCAACAATTCCATGGCACTCTGTATCATTTCGCGGTCGCGATAACAACGTTACAATTACCGAGCAAACAATAGCTACACACTCAAGCACGGGGGGGTATGTGCGTTCAACCTTTCAAGATATATAGAAGACTACGAACGATCGAGAACGAAATGAAAGAGCAACTCTCCTAAACAAATCGAAAATTTCAACGACCTGAAAACGGTCTCTCTTAATTTAGATACTCTGATAGGCCACGCTGTGCGCAGTATGCTGTCGCATTTTCGTCAAACTATGCTTCGTTTCCAGAAACCGATGGCAAATTAACAAGGGAACTAGGTGGAAAGAACAACGATAAGAAAGAAGAACGTAATGATTGAACGACAGAAGGAAAAGTTATCGATAAAAGGTTCGACGACACCGGTCTCCCGAGTGTAAAGGGCGGAACAACGCGCGACGCGTCTCAGGGACGTGACCTATGTTTTCCGTGACACTCGTTCACAGACCGGCGAGTAGAAAAATGGCAATGCGGATTGTAAGAGGAACAAGATAAGAGGGTCAAGAGTCTCGTCGTGCATACATATACCAGCACCAGAGACCCGTACAGAGTTATGACGTTACAGCAATCGTAAAATTGGGGCAGCTGCCGTTGAAAGCGCTGCTTCATGAATTTAGAGTGCCCGGTATTAAAACGAACATGCCTACGTCTTTCGAACAATGTTGACTTCTCCGCCGATCGATGGATCAACCAAGACTAAAAGTTCCAACTATCGACTTCTGGTCGCGGTTCGATTCACCTTACGAGCGCGCGCATTCGACGATACAAAACCCCTATGTGCCTATGTATCTATCGTATTCTGCCAAACGAGTGCCTACTACCCTTCGCGTCTATAATAATCAAAATTATAGGCTACCACTGTCCACAACCATCAACTATCCACGGTTTAATAAAATCTTTCGTTTATGCGGTCGGAAACCAAAAGGACTACCAGAAACCAAATCAAAAAAGATTTACCCATTTAACAATCACGAATAAAGCAAAATATATTTCCTCCTACGATAAAGACAGAAATTTAAACGAAAACCAAAGACTCGGGAAACGAATATTTGAATATTTTTGCATATCCTGTTTCAAGTTGTGTCGGTGTTGTAGCCATTTTTTCCATTAAACTTTTTCTTCTAGCGTTCCTTGTTGATAGAATTTAATATTTCGCTTCGATTCAATTTTTCAACAAATTTCGTATGCATTGCAACTTTTCTTTACAATTTTCTCATTTTTCCAGACAAATTGAAAATAAGGCCAAGTGTGTACATATGGTATATTCTCGTAAACATTTTTCGTTGCCTTCGTGTCCTGACTTGGCCCCACCAAGACAATGTTTACGCGTCACGATACATCCTGTACTAGAATCAAAAAGCACACCTATTCTGCAAGATTTTTACTCGAAGATTTCAAACGCGTAAATTATCGGCTACTAATTTTTATTAAAACTAAACGCGACGAGAGCATATATGTGTGTTTACACATGCACACGCGCGTGCGTGTACATGCGTAGAAATTATTTCCGATCACAGTGTTTACCTGGGAAAGATCGACCGTATAGAAAGCGAGCACGCAACCATCGAAAAGAAAATAAACATTTGCACCGATAACTACCATTAGAGTAGCGATCCAGTTACGTGAAAGTAAAAGTGCCTGCCTGCCTGCCTGCCTGCCTGCCTGCCTGCATGCCTGCATTGCGTGCTGTCCGGCTACCTAATGAACCACGACTATAAGTGTACGTTCGATGACTGATCTTAAAGAAGGCGGCCATTATCCGTTACATTTCACCGTTATAAAAGGATATCGAGAAAACAGTGACACTGACAAAATGAACAATTACAGGAATTCGGAAACTATTATGTACTTGGATAAAGACGTGATCGAAAACGAAACACAAACTACATTTTATCCCACGACGTCGTTCGCGACCGTGCTCAATCTTCGAAACTCGTTGGAAATACCCTTGGAAATACCGACTAATAGTACGATAAAACTTCATCTTCAGAATGAGCTTCCCCACGCAAATAACAAGTAGCGCGATCGATCTGCACCCTTATCGACGAATCGACGTGTTACAACGAAAGACGTTTTCAAAGGAGAAAATGTCATTCGAACCATTCGGAATATTCTCGGTGAATAGCGATAACACGAATGGAAACAAGAAGAACGAGTGCAGTGATTTTCTATGACAGCGAATCGATACGCCTGTCAGAACTTCGTTGGCTCGAAAACGCAACGTGACATATTAGCTAGCCGGCTGTATTAAAAATTATGCAAATTTAATACGAAGGAACAGCTCACCTCTTCGGCGAATTCAAAATCCCCGTCAAATTTTCTCTTACACCTCGCCCCGGTAGCTAGAATCAGGAGCACCGTGGCTACAAACACCCACGAAAATCGCATGGTTCTTCTTCCCGCGAGAGAGACAGGGAGACCACCGTACGTCCACCGTGAACCGACAGAAGGAAATAACGCGCGGATTTCCGCGAAACACGTTCACCGTGGTTCGATTCTTTCGAAATAAAGGATTTCGGCGAACGGTGACGTTAAAAGCCGCGCACGTAAACTACAACACGTTCGTAATATCCCGTATTCCTTGTAAATGGTAACACACGGTTCGACGGTCGAACAAGTTGTGACTGCGCGAGCAAAGTGAAGGCGACGCCGCACCACCACAGACGCGTAGCCACCTATTGGTCGGATTCCAGCGAATCCGAGGAGGGACGTCAGGGGCCGCCGCGCCGGGCGGCCAGGTACATATAACCTGAACTACCCGTCTCTCTCTATCTCTCTTGTTATTCCATGGGTTACGTCTGCCCTCCAATGACTCTCTCTGGTAGCAAGATTCGCGCGAGCGCGTGCTACACTGCGCCAGTCAATACCTCTACCTGCCTTCCTTGGTTCACCTACCCGGTATGTTACCAGTGTGTTGACGAGGGAAAAAAGGGCGCAGGGAATTCGGCAGGAGAGCACCAAGAAGGAATCCAGTTTTGTACCCGGATACTCGCCCAGAAAGCGGACCAACCTGCCAACATTTTTCAACTTTTCTTTCTTTTTTTTTCGTTTTATTCTGCTGCTTCTTTCATACTCTCTTACCCTTGTCTATATTTCTGATTAGAAGACTCTTCGACAAGACGATCCTACGTTAGTTACCAATTCCCGTTTCAGCATATATTAACCAGTATAAAAAAAACTATGATTAATCGAGAATTCAATGAATACTTCTGTTCGATCAGAGATCAGAGACCTTTTCTGATAAATGATCTTATCTGAAAACAAATTAATGCTATATTTTGGCTTCTAAATATTTTCCTCGGTGGAAGTGCACGGACACTTCCCGCGGGAGTAGAAACCAGGAATACAACGTCGTACGACGTATTTCCTCTACAAAATGGATCGTATCGCGGAAAAGATTAAGGGGAACTGTTACCAAGTCAACGAGACGCAGGCGGGTTCCTTTGTATTTGTTAAATATTAACTCGTAAACGGTATAGATGTTACGCGGCGTTACTGGTTAATCACAAATTTATACCAAATAGCAAATTACTTTTCCTTGAAAATTTATTATGTTAAACGATCGATAGATCGATTCGTCTATTCGATTCAAGGCCCGTATGTTCAAGCATACGTAAAAACCACGAATGTCTTGTATCGAGAAAGGAAATATACTTCCGAGTTCAGGAGAAGATGGTAATATAAGTAAATAAAATATGCACGACGTCGAATAATTTTACCTTCTTAAGTCTATCTTACAATGGCGGACACTATGATATATGTATATCTAACGTAATAAGACTTGCACGGAAGGTCATTTTTTCTCGGCGGAATACATCGATTCGTACATTTTCCAATTTATATTCTAGCTTTCATTTAGAAAACCCTTAGGAACAGCTAGGAGTAGGCGATTTTGGATCCGTAATACAGGTGACCGAATTCAAGTAGTAAACCAATTTATTATAGGTATAACACGTGTGTTATGTAACAAGTATTCGAAAGAGACGAAGTTTCGTTTATGTAGAATACTCTTTTCTATATCGATGGAAAGCTATATCGCAACCTTGTGCACGAGCAAGGATACAGCACAGCAACAAGGAGCTTTAATAAATTGTTAAATTGTACGGAATAAACTTTGTACATGTGTTCCGACCCGACGGCTACAGATATTTCTTTTCATAGAATTATATTAAAATAAATAATAAAATATACATATATTTGAGCTGTCATGTTCCACTGTGTACTGCAAGCACGCCAAGTTTAAATATTATCTAGAATTATGGGATGTATCAAAACTTATGACGAAGCAACTTGTTGGAACGATACATAGTATTCCATTAAGTGCCGGCAAAATAAGCAACTATGTGCAGACATCTAGAGACGTATCAATGTGAGAATATCCCCCTTGTTCTCACTTAAGATGTACGTAATGCCACTTATCGACTGAAATCAAACATTGCGATGTTTTGATAATCATCGTTTAATATAAAAATATTAAGCGGATACAACGATCGGGAAAATAAAAAAAACTTGAACTAAATTTCCAACAACGAACGACGTCGATAAACTTATAATTTATGTGATACTAACGGAACGAAATGATATTTGTTAACTGAAAGTAAATTTTACAATTATAAGAATCAACACTCGACTGGAACATAAACGTCACTGTACGAATAATTCTAGTACAGTTTTACTAATTTCCAAATATTAACTTACCGGATGGATCCACCGATTGAGGCTCTAATGCCTCCGGAGCTTTATCTAATATTTCTTCAGCAGCGTCTGTGCTTATTTTAAAGGGACTGTCTGCGATAGTTACGTTTGTACTGCAAACATATTTATTTCTTTAAATCTATATTCAAACAAATTACTTTCGTTTTGGCAAAACATATAATAATTTTACAAACCATGCAATCCCTCCCGCAGGGGCTTCTCGTTTAATAAGGTTCTGCCAATGTTGATGTACTTCTTCCACTATATGTAATGCAAAGTCCCTCGACTTTGCCTCCCCGTTAAATGCAAATTGATTTTCCGGCTTACCGTCTGGTATTTTATAAATTTTAAACCATTCGATCGTAGCCTTCATCAGACCCGGATAATGTTTTTCAATGTCAGCTACATCTACAGATATGAAATGCATTAGGTAAGTACGTATGTACGCACGTTTAGAACGACTATTACGGTCGCATAAGTAATTCGGTAAATAATAAAACTGTTCTTCGGCAGTTCGTTTATGAGATTATGTCTTGTACTTCCTATTACTTTGTTATGCGCCGAATAAATAAAATCTTTAACAACAGATAAATCTAGAATTTCCTGTGATACTCGATAAATTTGAACAATTTGAAAACATAAAATTATTGCTTTCATAATAAGCTTATTTAATAGATAATAAATGTTAATAATATTGCAAACATTCTATCAATATAAATACAATACTCGATCTCTACCATTCATCTGGTCCGCCAAAGGATCGTTAACGTCGATAACGATAATTTTCCAATCAGTTTCGCCTGAAACAATCGATGATTAAAATCGAACGAAATTTTCTTAACAAAATAAGGAACATTGTTTAGAATATTACATACCTTCGTCGATAAGCGCAACCGTACCAAGAATTTTTACCTTCAAAACTTCGCCCCTTTTTGCAACCTATTTTTATAACAGACTTATAATTATATACGAATTACAATTAACTATAAGCCAATTTAATATAAACATTTTGTACCCTGTATCCAATTTCAAGAACATCGATGGGATCATTATCCCCTTTGCAACCGGTTGCTTCGTCCAGCACCTCAGGATTTTCCCATGTCTATTATAAATATTACATACTAAATAAACCAAATATTTGTGCACATAATATACACTATGTAAACTGTATACGGTTAAATTCTAACAAAATGTCTCAGCGAGAGAACGACAGAGGAATACAATAATTTGAAATAGATCGAGTTAGAAAGATAAAGAAGAATGTCCTTGAATCAAAATTAAAATGTTACGTAATGCGTGATAAGGCATTGTTCATACGTTACAAGGATGTATACATCCATTGGTATATCAGTTTTCTGTATCATAGAATTACTCATGTCCTTGTACAAGCTGTACCAGTAAAATTGATGATATCATTCTTTAATTGTTAAGCCCAGATACAACATAGATAAAATGAAAATCTTGATAACGCGTTAAATCGACAATTTATCGATAATTATCAAGCTATCAAAATAGTTTATACCTGTGGTAGTGCACCATAGTTCCATATGTATCCATGGTGTGGAAAACAATTAGCAACATATCTTAATTTGCCTTTTTTAACATCCTGTTTAATGGGATTTAGAGTCTCTTTGAGATTAATTTCCATCTTTGCATTTGTCCATCTTGGTATTTCGACTATCATGTTAACTATTTTATTTATTCCATCCGTATAAAGAGGAATGTCATGCATAGGCGAAATTGGACCAACATCATTCTCTACAATGTACACCAATAATATATATTTCTCTATAAACTATTCAACATAATTCTAATTGTTTAAAGAGAAACATGTATTAAATATATTTTATAAAAAAATAATGCACATTCGAAAATATTACGCATCCGTATGCGTATGCTGTGTTTGTATATGTATATATACAATACATATATATTTATACATTACATTGCATTACATACACGCGCGCATATGTGCTGTTACGATATCGATAGAATTCGTAAAAGAAACGATATTTCTACTGAAACTACGGTTAAAAATTGAACAAGCATCGATAAAGATATAAACATATTGAGTAGAATATAACTGCAGATCGAACTTTTTGTCCTCTTTAAGGAATTCCGATACTTTCACTAATATCACACGTCACATTGACAAAATACGAAAACTCGTTTTGTACGAAACAGAAAAATGCATATAAATGTAAAATCGAGAGAATGGAAATATTTTGTTAGGTCAGAAAATAAAAAATTGTGTAAAATCTTCGAACGTATGAAAGAAAAGTAACTTAGTAACATGTTACGGAAAGAAACATTCTAAACGCGATTTCTACTAGATTAGAATCACAGTGGAGGTTGAAAGGTCATGTTCAATAAAACGAAGAACAGCATAATTATACAGTAGATAGGTTCAATAAAGCGTATTACGTTGACATATTGAACGACCTTTAAAAACATCCGATCGCACGAGAATCGAAGGTTACGTCATGCAATACTTACTAAAATAAATCCTATAATCGGTGGTATTCGATGTACCCCTTTCGACCGTTGTGTACGACATGTTTCTCACAAATTTCTTGAACACAGAACAAGATTGCGACCCAACGACACTAACCGCCGCAGCTAATCTGACCGGAATAGCCAACGTATTTAAACCTCGGCAACGTACCACGTGCAGCATTATCGACGACATCCTGACATCTAACGGTAGTCACGTATACCAGAATCTGACCGTCCTATAGAAAAATGAAATATACATATATTTCTATGATTTTGAGACATGTCATAAACGACGCAAATGTTGTTGTTCATCTCGTACAGTATTGTATGTAGTCCGTGCAATATCGTTAAATAGCTTATAATATATGTATTACATATGTTGAGATTTCTTTCACGAGAAATGGTAGAAAAAGTCGCAACGACAGTCTATACGAGCTATGTATGTACGTAGCTTTATAGAGCAGATCGTAGAAAATATGTAATACACGTTAGGAGTTTTATTCATATTGATATTGATATTGATCGTATCAAGGAAAATCGTACCGTGATGTCCCCTATTACAGACGAGGTATAGTAGAATATCTTGTATATGGTAACGTTTAACAACAGTCGTAGACATAATCGGAACGATTTACCGCTAGAAAATGCTCCACACGGACTAGATATAGGCAGAAACGATGTATATGTATAGACCGAACTTGATGGAATTCCCTTTTTCACGACTCGAACAACTCTAGAGCCCTCTTCCTAACATTTCGCTAGAAGAACTAACGTTATCGATTCAAAATGGAGCGAGGATACATACAACGCTGTTAGCGGAAAGAATTAAAACTAAGTTTGTCGAGAGTTCGAAAAGGAAACAATTAGATTAAGAATAAATGAAATTATTGAAAAAGTAACTAGAAATATTTATGTCGAAAATAATTCATCATACCATGAAATATTTTTGAGGTTAAAAAAACACGAAGCACGAGACGTCAGCCTTGTAGATGTTATGAATATAGCCAGCCGCGATCACTATGTTTATAGCCAGTAAAGATAACGTAGAATACGATCTATGCAATAGTCCGGTACAATGATTTTGATGATCTCAAAAAGAAATTCCCTATCATAGAGGGAAAGATTTTGTGTAAAGTTTAGAACTGGTGGGTAATCTGGTAGTCAGTAGACTTTTTGTTCGTACAATATGTACTGGGGTAACGAAATAGTGGCTGTTCGTAAAACTAAGCGGGACCTTGATAGGCTTCGTAAGCGGCTAAACGATAGTCGGTTACCCACCGGAAGATAGTGTTCCAGTAGTCAACGGACATCGAGACCGTCGTTCGGACCCGCAACAAAACGAACATACATATAATACGTATATCGTCTCGGACACGAGTTCAGGCGCGAGAAGAATCTGCGTTTACGCTTGTCCTTTAAATTCTACTATGCATTTCTTTTTCGATAAATCGATTCTCGATATTTATACATTTTATTTATATTCGATAAATAAAAATCGTTTGTAGAAAAACAGTTGGAATCGAAAGTGACTCGATAGAGAAGATCGTATGGTTGTTGGTCGAGATATCGTCGCAGCATGGGTTAGGTAAGATAACGCCGTAAAGGTTTTTCAACCAAGTTTCGAGAGTCGAGGGTCACCGGAGATTAGAAACGACTAAAATTTTCGAATATCGAACTCGAGATCTCAAATTGTATGTTTAACGAGAAAGTGTTGGAGCTTGCGTTGATTCGTTTTCCATTCATCGGGCATTCGATATCAGGAATCGTCAAGATATCAGCAAGTTTTAACAGTAGAGAGGCATTCCTTCACTTATCTCGAACAAACAAGTCTACGATCGAGGACTTGTTGCTCGCGGTAAAATTAGACGTTTCTAGCTGTCCCGACGACTGTCTTTGGCTTTTTGACAACTGAAAAATATTGGTGCTCGTTTTATCGGTCGGTGATAACCTAATCTCTCATCCGACATTTAAAATGGCGAGCTGCTGTCTACATAAGTACATAGGTACGGATAGTCTATTTGAATTTGATTGGCAAACGAACAAACACTGGCACAGTGACCCTTGACAACGGAAAAAGGTAAACGGAGCCTGGACGCGACACGCGAATGGAAATTCAAGTCGAACGGATACCTACGCCAACCCCCCTCCCCCTCCCCCCCCCCCTTGTTACGCTTAAAAAATTGATAATATTTCGAAAGTATGAACCTTTGAGAATTTGTTGTATTCGATGTAAAATGAAAAGAGTTTGTTGCTATATGTATAATTCCACATATCGGTTTTCACGCACCGTAGAAAGAAAGAGAGTTGGTAGGTACGTAACTATACATATATTCCTGGAAAAATTTTGCTAGAACATAATGGCGGGAACATTGATGTTCTCGTTGGAACTGCGTCGTTTGCAGTTCCAACGGGTAGCATCTTGATCCAAAGGATATTTTTCATGGAAGAACGATACTTAAAATCGCCGCTTACTGTTCCACTTGTATCTTGGACCAAGGATTTGACGCTGTTTTAAAAATAATGGATGTCGTAGCCGGAAAGATAACCATTGACCTCGTAGCTGTGGAATTGGCGCGCAAGCAAAAATGAAGCGCGCGGGTCGTTACGGCGAATCGTTGCGCAGAAATATCTCGAAAGAAAGCAGGAAATATAGTGAAATTTTTCGAGGTTATAGGTAGAGTGGTAGGTCTGGATTAGATGGCGAGTAAAAACGGCAGTGGAGGATCGGTCGAATCGGAATTGCCGGGTGAATTAACCCAGACAGAAGCCACGTCGAAACGGCGCGGCACGGCGCGGCGCGGCGATTCCGTTCGGTAACGAATAGATCAACGGCTTCGAAGCAGAAAGACGCGCAAAACGGAACGCGGGGGTAGGGAGCCGAACACTTCTGAGGCTTGGTATGCATCTACTTACGTACCTGTCGCGAGTGCAACCCAGTCCTTTTCAGTCTCGGCCCAAGCACCTGTCGAGCCGCGCGCGATCATCACCGTTCGCGCAATTTTCCATTATTTCGTTATATGTACTTTGATATCGTGAAATCGAGTGTCGTCGGTTACCGTTCAACAGCCTACAGTGTTGATCGGTGACAAGTTTATCTTCTTGGGTCACGCGTTGCAAAGTATGCATGTAGATAGGTGCATACCTACATAGAGGCTTATTTCCGACAAGGATAAAGCCATACCATCTCGTCTTGACGAGAACCGGTTTACAGTTCCGATAGATCTTGTTTATTCGTATGTATTAGGTTACGCAATCGGGCGACGATAATCGTTGCACAAACGGACTGAACTGTTTCCGAAAGGATGATCATACTACCGACAAAAAATACCGTAGATCATTTCTAACAAATTTCGCCGTTGCAACGCCAAGATTAACGCAATCGATTAATAATCGCGCGAAAAGTTTGGGTAGGTGTTTGTGTTTGGACAGTTGTTTTGTCCGATGGTTCGTGGCATCGCGTCGTTTGTTCGTTGGACACTTAAATGCTATCGCGTAATAAATTGAAACACGTCGACGTGATAATGAAAAACATTGGCTGCGTTAGTAGGTGGACGGCAGGAGTGCGCGAACATTGTGCCGATTCTTGACGTCGCGTCGCAAATGCCCGTCTATACATACAGCGATAAAACCCGAGAGTATCGTTCTCTTTGAACATTGTTGCTGGTCGGAGGAGGAACGTTTCCGGTGTCGCGGTGACGCGCGACACGTGTACAGATAACACGAGCACGTGTTGCGATTAAATCTCGACGCGAAGCGCCATCTGGGCCGCGTAAAAGGTTCACGCAACTCCTTAGGATGACCTTTCGAGCTCGTTGGAGTCGGAGCGTGGTTCGGGCACGCCTCTCTCTCGAGAGAAAATCTTTCGAGTGGTGTCGAAGGGGTAAAGTGGGATCGAGAGAGTCCGAAGAGGTAATCAAAGGAGGGAAAAATCTCCCCGAGTGGGGGGGGATGCGTCCAATAGAACACATTAGATGCAGCCTGTTGATTCATCGGACACGGTAGTAACAGCCGCGCCGTACAGAGCGTTGGATGCGAGTCGCGAGGCGATACGTAAAACGTTTGGCCACGATTTCTATCGAGTTTTTTTATCGGTGATACCCAAGTTCTCTACCCGAAGGAGGAAACTCGAATCGTCCAGAAACATACGTTTAACAAAAAGTAAGTAAATACATATGTAGATCGCTCTCGCGACGCTGATACGCGTGTATCTGGTCGGTTTTAGTCGCACTCTACGTTTACGAAACCCGACCCACTCTAAACATTACGATTCGCCTCACCGTGTACATACTCACCAATTAGTACGATTCTACATACGTTTGATAAATTATTTTTTACAAGATTTACGAGATAAGAGGTGTGGATTTCGAAAATGAGCGGGAAGCGAAACCGTCTCGAGGAGAAGCGACCGTTTTGTTGACGGCTTTACGATAGAACTACCCCCCGCCGCCGGATAATTTTCTCACCCTTTTGTCTGCTATAATAGGTTTAACAACTGTAACAATTTACCTGCTCTTCGAAGCGTGTTACGCTCGCCGAATTCCGAAAAAGCGAATAGTTTTGCCGAAATGCATAGTCGTAAAATTTATGTTCTACGCTCGCGCGAAGCTTTAAATAAATTTTATATATATACGAAATTTAAACAAACACCGTAAACCCTAAATCGTAAACATATAGCAAATATTTCCGATAATTTCGTCTCTTGAACACCTGCAGACGGTCCATCGATATGAAATCCGTGCTATCGTCGGAATGCGAATTACTACTTGTTTTTCGCGCGAAAAACTTATCTTTGACAACTGCTTAAAATGAACGATTCGTTCGTTCGTTTCATAGAATCAAGTAGATATATATTTACTCTTAACTTAACGTTCAAGAATCGTAACAGTTTAACGTACGATTACATACGATACAAGCTAGAAGACATTCCGATTGCGCGCTATCTTTTCCCAAAAATTATCGATAGCGATAGATTAGAATCGATTTGTTTTAATGCCTGTTCTAGATCGACGAGTAACGTTCGCCTCAACGAAATTCTCCAACTTGATATATGCATATTGTAAATTTTTTAGCCCGTTTGTGCGCGGATACTATTGGAACGGAGCTCGATAGGTTGCGTAAAGATCATTACTCGTGGATTAGCCTTCGATTGATTCGGATACATATCGAATAAAGAAGGAAAGGATTACGCGTTACGTTTAGTTACGGCGAAATGATCGTTTTGGCGGCCCCGAATTACTCATTACGTATAAACGTGTCGCGTTGGTGTAACGAATTCGAAATTCGTTGAACGCTCGAGTGATTCGTGTATAATAGAGACGCGTTATACATATTGTGTGACTTGCGCCGTGAAAAACAATAATGAAATTTTCATCGTTCGTTTAAACTGTTTATCACGAGTATGAATCTGAGTATGAGTGCCAGATAAACGGAACGGAAGTTATAGTATGTACCAAGTACATATTCCGGTGTCTGTTAATTTCTTTTACTCGAAATGTTCTTCTTCCGATATTATTTTTCACATTCGACCTCGAATCGAATCTTGAACGGCTCGCAACCAGTCGATAATACTCGTATTATCAACGCCGGTAAATATTAACTAACAATACTATTGACCGTATAAACGATCGAAGAAAAGATCCAAGATTCTCGCCGAATGACTACAAATATCGTGAAATCCGTGTTTCAATACTGCTTATATCTCTAGAAAATGCTAGCGATATTAACAATAATATTGACCGTGTTGTTAACCTGGAGGTGTATTAAAAATAAATTGGAAATTATCTATCGATCACTGACACAACTAGACTCCGAGACAACGCGATCCGTTTCTATCTAGCAACGACTCTTATTTAATGAAACATTTTTTGGAAATTTAACCAAGCTAAGCACTAGTTGGGAAAAACATCGAGTCAACTAGTATTTTAAAAGGTTATTTTTAGAAACGGGTCCAAGAGCCTCGCCCGCGTGCCAACTGGGGCTCGTAGAAAAAAAAGATTAAGAACCACTGTTCTAAATCAGTGTACGTAAGTACTTACATGTGCGTTAAAAAGTGATCGAGCCTCGGGATGCTACGAACTTAACCACCCCTCTGTTTTACCCCGACATGGGTTCGGGTTAGGATCCTTACGTTTCACGCTTTTAAAACGAACCCATTTTTTAGCAGCGCCGAACAAGAAATACAAGCTGTTTGAACGTGGAGGATCAATTTCCAATAAATGTGAGCTCGATACGAAATTAATCATTATTATTTTCGCACTCTCTTGACCTCTCTATCTCGCTGACAGTGTCGCTACAATGTTTCGATCGGGGCGGATCCTGGCTACTGGTTTTCGGGCTTGCAACGATACGTAGGTTACATACATTATGTAGATATTGTAGGCGCTGATCGTCGAGTTTAAAGCTGTGCCATACGCACGTATCTATTGAAAACTGTCAATGCAAACTAAAAACATTTACATACATACATTCGTAAGCTAGCTTTTAACCGTTTGAGGCATACGATTTTAAAGGGGAAAAAACCAAGTTGCCCAGAATGTTTTTCTAATACTTGTATAAGAAAAAAGGTGTAGAAAAAATATTCCACCATGCATAAAAAGCTAAACGAAAAGCTAACCAAAGAAAAGGTTTAACCAAAGGTCAAAGGACTGTTCTGGTTAGCGGAAAACGTTTTCGTCGTTTTGTCGGAATCCGTTCTTCCGACGAAGCGATAAAGTTATCGTTTCCGTGGCTCGATCGGGAAGCGCACCGCGCGTCGAACGTGGATCTACTGCGACTACGGGAAAAGCTGCGTAGAAAAGTGCAACTGGACGATTCGGCCGACCAGATTCTAATTGAAAACACACAGTAAATACACGGAATAAGAAAAGTAAAGGTCCGATCGTAATTTACCGAGTAAAATATATTTTTTTATTCTGTTTATAATTGCGCGAAAAGTGGATACGAAGCGAACAAGACTATAGGTCATCCAGTAGAGTAACCTGACAATTTGTTCTCGGTTATACGGCCGGGTGTGTAACTCGCGTATGTATAACCCCGGGTTAACCGATCCATGAATGCACGGTTAATCCGGGGTTACGACGGTTTCTATGTAGATGATGATATCTCAGCAGAAAACTCGAAAGGAATACCGGCTCGTAGTTGCGCAGCTTAAAAAAACCATCGCGGCGATACATACATACATGTATGTTTACAATGATAACTCGAGGGAAAGGTCGATATCAGTAATGTTGTTTCATCGACCGGTCAACGATGACAACCACTACAACGGAGATGACTCTACTTGTAAGAAAGAGACAGATAAAAACCGTGACTGTAAACATAGACGTGATTATCATCGCGGTGTTTAGGCGGCGTCGGCGGCGGCGACGTTTACTGGCAGAAGAATCACTCTGTATTTTATCTATCATTGCATATACATATGTACATGTACATACTATATTATAGGTACATATAGATGTTTGAAACAGTTCCTATTGCGATAAAAAAAAGGAACGACAGACCAGACGGTCACGAGGTCTCGGACTCGGACTCGGACTCGGTCATCGCGTGAAAGAGATTAGGGGTCGTACGAGGCGGTGATCGTAAAAGGAATCCAAGACGACGTAACACGTAGTAGACTTATTTCCTCGATGATCCTGATCGGGCAATATTTTCAAACGTTACTATAACCATATTTTGGTCGGTTGTTTAGGTCAGAGTACGCGGGGGACACGACGAGTATTCGCGCCGAGGACACGCATGCTGAGCAGACGAAGAGCAACGCGTATGAAGAAGATCACGCCACCATGAGACCTTGGGCCAATAAGTCCGTTTACCTCGGCCTCCTTGGCCTGCTCCTGATCGTTTTCGGCACGTGTCTATACTTGTTTTGCCCGACACTGTTTTATTACATTCTCCAGAAGGTACGAAACAAGCAAGCGACTTTGCTCTCGGAAATTCTATTAAATTCGATCCTCTATCACGCATGTACGTAAGTATGTATATCGCGGCTAAACGCTATCGATCGGATTTCTTGTAATGTTCCGCGTGATCCACCGAGCCGGAAATCATTCGATCGCGTACACGATATTATATTTTATTTACAAATAAAACTGCTGCACTCGACCAGTAAAATCGTGTACAAAATAATCGCGGTAATTTGTTGGATAATTATGACGTATCGGGTTAGGTACGTGTCCCGATTCTCGCGTCTGCCGGTCTACGAAACGACAGCGCGACAAGAATCAAGTCGGTCGCGTCGTTTGGGTAATTTCGCGACATCGCGGACAAAGACGAGACGAATCCTAGTCGATTGTCTCGCTCGCGTCTCGCCACTGTTCTCGTCACGATTGGAAAAGTGGTTGATCGTTTTAGTTGCGCGCTGGACGAACAATTTCTCGTCGCTGACAAAAACTTTCGTCACACCGCTCGGATCGATGGAAACAATTTTCGATCGATTATTTTTTATAGGCCAAATAGGATAAAAGAGAGAAGAAAAAACAGTTATTGGACGAGAGTGTGACGTTTTTCAATAAGATTATATGTATGTATGTATGTATGTATGTATGTATGTAGTTGGTTAGTCAGGGCCTACGATAATCTTGACGGTGTCCTCGGGTTCGTTCCACGGAAGAACCGAAGCCCGCTAAAGCATTCCGAGCGTGAAATTTCAAATGTTTCGAGGCAGCACGAGCGAGCGTGTGTATCGATATCAGTAGCGAGGATGACACGACGGAAAAAATTAGGTCGGTTTCGATAACTTTCGATGGTACGTTAACGTTTGCACGTTTTATTCGACAGGAATTGCCGTTGACACCGACGTCGAAAGCGTTCGAGGTGTGGAACGATACGAGCAGTCTACCGCCCATGTATTTAAAAATTCATTTTTTCAACTGGACCAATCCGGAGGAATTGACGATTCGAGGGCAAAGGCCGATTCTGAACCAAGTTGGCCCCTACGTGTTCCGGTACGTACGATTTCGTTGATGCGATGCGACGCAATATTCGTAAATACGTAATAACGGCGGGTTCCGTGACGCGCGAGAAATAAAAAACCAGTACGTTCGAGCTCGAGTATCAATTAGCTGTCGGACTGTGTTCGAGGCTTCGATCCGCGTCACGAAAATCGAGGACTCGTCGGGGAAAAAGGTCGTTGCGGTCGATGTGGAAACTCTTGCGTAACGATAGATTTTTGCTCATTGCGATCCGGCGAATGCGAATCTGTTTGCGATTACGATACCCAGCGATACGAATCGCAAAAATGATCAAGATCGACGCGACGGATGCGACCGATTAAAAACGCGTACCGTCGTGTCGCGTCACCGCGCCTCGCCTCGCCTCGCCTCACCAAGCCTTGCCTTGCCTTGCCTTGCCTTGCCTTGCCTTGCCTCCCTCACCACGCGACGCCCACGTCGCCCGCGTCGCCCGCATCGCCGCGATCTCAAAGCCGCTTCTGTCCGTTCGAAACACGATTCACACGACAATGCGTCGTCGCGCGACTACCGGACGAGTCTATTCGACCCTTCCACGAGACTATTCCTAATAGAGTCTCTAATCACCGATAAGAAGCCACGGTTGACCTCACGATATTGACATGTTAACGAACGAGTAAAACGTGTCTCGGTCGAGTAACAACGTCGACGTAGGTGGTTCAAAGGTTGTACGAGATAATTGGTTAATTAATTAGTTTCTTGTTGCTCGGGAACCTTTCTTCGTCCACGACGCGTTCCTTTTTTTTCGTCTCGTTTTTGTCGGCGCGGCATAAAGAGGAACGAAACGGACGCGAAACGCGACGACAGATCGTCTCGCGAACAAACCTATGGAATCGCGCAATATAAGGATAGGTTTTTCAATGTGTCCACGTTGGAAACGATTGAAACGCGTTGCTTTTCACGGACACCGGCACCGTCTTCGATCTCGATCCGCGGCGTTCGTTTCATCTTGAATCTCAAGATGTAAGGCAGTTACGCAAGGAAAAGATTGCGCTGGTAACTCGTAAGGGAACATTAGACGCACCGCGAGGAACTTCCGTACGGTTACCGGTCGACAATTGTCGCGTCAAATCTAATCAACGAGACACGTACGAATCTTGGAGCATCGAATCACGGTTCTCCGATCGTACGCGCGCATCGGCTAATTGGACGTCGCTACTGGACAACAGATTCGAAAGGACGACCCTCTTAATTACATGCTGCGCGGTTTGTTCGTGCAATTTCTTGTCGCATCGTCGCGTCGGCTGATTTCCGTCGACGAGCACGCATGCGATTCCACGGTGTTCGAACAGCGAGACATTTTACACACGCCAGGTGAAATAATGTTACAAAGAGCGCATCGCGGATATTTCCGACTTTTGCAATCGGTCGCCGATTTGGCCGAAACTTTGCACGCTCTTAGATCTATCCCCACTTTAGGTGTAAAATGGAGGGAAATAAGTTCGTCCTGGTCGTGACCGCGATAACTATCGATAAGTCGACGCACGTAATCGTCGTCGTAATTGTGCCGTTTTCACGATTCACGCGCCTACTAAATTTAAATTTCAGGGAAATCCGAGAAAAGGTGAACGTGACGTTTCATCCAGAGAACCAAACGGTCAGCTATTTTCTTCGACGATGGTGGTTCTTTGAACCGGACTTGACCAATGGCTCCTTGGACGACACCATCACGCAATTAAATACCGTTGCGATCGTGAGTAAACCTTTGGTTCGTCATTTTATTTAGAAAGGAGCTCGTAACCGATTCAATTATTATTTCAAACTAGTCGTTTATCGCGATGAAAATCGATCGGTTCGATCGGTAGATTTATGTGAAAATGACCGTTGTAACTGTGGTTCCTAGGACCAAGGACCAAAATGTTTACTATATTCTCGAGATATGGGTTACGGATCAGGTGAAACCATGACTCGGGTCCCTTTTCCGATTGACAATTAAAAAAGTCGCTCGATGGAGAATAGTATGCAAGGGCTGGTCAAGTTACGAAAAGTGAAGAGTAATATTGTAGTAGCAAACTAATCGTTTCTACTCGCGTTTCAGTCCGCGAAGCACAAGGTACGATACTGGGAGGAAGTGCTGCAAAGTTCTCTGTCGTTCATGCTATCCTCCTCGAAGGTGCACACCACGAAAACGGTGAACGAGCTGCTGTTCACCGGATACGACGACCCGCTGATCAAATTAGGAAGATTGATGGGTATGGGACTGGACGTACCGCCGTTTAACAAGTTTGGTTGGTTTTACATGGTAGGTCGTAATATTGTTTATTTAATAGCGACGAGGGCGGTATAAGGTAAAAGACGCGTGTGACCCGCGCTGCCCTAGCAACGGCATTACGAGTCGACGATAAATTATTCGCAGCAAGACTTAAATTGGTACTGAATAGGACAGGTCGCGCGTAGGTCGCTGAATGACGAATGAAAAGCAACGGGAGAGCATATTATGTATTAATTTGTTAGGTCGCGCGTGCAATATTTACGACCAATCAAACGCTCGCTAGCCTTTCTTCCCGTGCAAAGTAAATCGGTGACGAAGGAAGGAGACGCCTCGCCTCGCCTCGCCTCGCCTCGCCTCGCCTCGCCTCGCCACGCCTCGCCTCGCCGCGTCACGTCACGTCACGTCACGTTATATCGTCGATCGATAATCGTACATTTCACCCTTTCGTACTAAATTTTATGTGAAATATGTATCTACGTGTAAGAGGATCTCGATATCGTTTACTTGTTCCAGAGAAACGGCTCTACGATGTTCGATGGTCACTACAACATGGACACGGGTGTCGGCGACATAGGTGAATTCGGTGTATTGCGCAAGTGGAATTACAAGGATACGACCAAATTCTTTAAGAGCCCGTGCAACGTCGTCGAAGGAAGCGCCGGGGAGTTTTGGCCACCGTATCGGCAAAAAGACGAGATCGTCCTGTTCAGCGGTGATTTGTGCAGGTTGGTGGGGTTCGCCGTTTCGACCATTTCTAATTACTTTGTTCTATGCGCGCGCGTTAACGAACCCCGTCGCCGAAACTCGGACGATCTTAATTCCCAAGTTGCCTCGTTAACCTTCGACACACGTAAATTGGATCGTCCGGTAATCGGTTGTTGCGCGACCGACGCGACGATGCGGTTTTTCCGTGGGTGGACCGCACGATAAGTCTGCCGGCCAGGGTGGCCAGCGTCGCGACACAACATATCGCGATCGAACCGCGTCCTCCCATACGACGCGACGCGCGACGACACGCGAATAACACAACATTCTCGTGACAACGATACCCTTTCATCTTCGTATCGATTTCTCTCGCGTGTCTTTCCAGACCGTTAACGTACGAGTACGCGCAGACGACTTATCACATGGGCGTAAAGGGTTATCGGTACGTTCTCGGCGAGAAAACGTTGGGCAACAACACACGGAGACGGTATCCTCACGAACAGGCCAAGTACATCGAGCAAACTACCACTACCGAAGACTTTTTCGAAGCCGAACACTCGGCAGAGGTGACGGATTCGCCGGACACGGATCCCGACGTTGTAAACGTAGGCAATTGCTTTTGCAACGGGAAATGCACTCCCGCGGGACTGATGAACGTCAGCTCCTGCCGTTACGGCGCACCGGTGTTTGTCAGCTTGCCGCACTTCCACAAAGCGGATCCTGGTCTCAAGGACAGGTTCCTAGGATTGCATCCTGACGAGGAACAACACGATTTCTCCATTACCCTGGAACCGGTGAGTGTGCCCCGTTTTTATCGCGTCGATTTACCGCCCGCGTGCATGCACCTGCCTTTCTATCGCGATCAGTTTTACGCCCGTAATTAGTTATGCCACCTGTTACCGACGAACCTCTCCAAATTAATCAAACATTTTTCTACCGATGCTTCTTTGATCTTTTAATAACCCTATACCGATTAGATTACTTAATCGACATTATCGGATATCAAAAATCCTGATAATTAACCACATTAGTAATAATAGATTTATCAAACGAAATGCGAATCCGTGCTACTAAGATTCGTTACGGGGAAATATTATTTTCCAAACAGACCATTTTATACATAGATTGATTTTCGGCGCAATGTTTTCTATACCGATAGATATTACCGATAATCGGAGATAAAGGTTTGCTGTTTGGAAATGGTTTTGTGGAAACGCGTTTAAAACGTCCGTTGATCGGTCGGTCGAATAAACTACCCGAATCCGGTCGATTATCGTTACTTGTTCCGATTACGCGAGCGAATAAAATGTTGGATAACGAATGGATCTTTTTCGCAGACAACGGGCATTCCCCTAAAAGTCTCGGCAAATATGCAGCTGAACGTGCTTCTGGAACCATCAAAGACCGTGTCGTAAGTACGTCTCGGACGATCGAACAACATCATCGTCTAACTAAAACATTCTTTACCGATCGAATTGTCTCTATTCACGATAAAACCAACCCCCTTTAGGCTTTTCAAACAGGTTCCGAGGATCTACTTCCCGGTGATGTGGTTCTCGTTGGAGGTCGAAGCTACCGAAGAGTTCGTCGACGACCTAAGAAAGTTGCTGTCGCTCTCGGACGTATTCCTGTACGCCGGTGCGATTCTGATTCTCGCGGGATTTCTCGTAATCTTTGCGCTGGCGTTGCTCTATCTATTGAACAAGCAACAAACGGGATCGATGGTCGGTAGCATCGTTCCTTTCGATTTTTCCGCGCGATGCTTTCGATTCGTCACCACTGATTCGATGACAATTTTACAGAATGGAAAATCGGCTACGATATCCTCGTCGACCGGCGACAAATCAGAGTTGATGTACGTGGACAAGAACGCGTGCAACGAGGACGGTAACGCGAGAAACGATCGCAGGCTGTATCAAAGTTCGATCGAGTGTTTCAACATGGATCTGCAATCGAAGCTTCAGCATCGAAAGTAGAGAAAGAAAGCAGGCGAGATTGATCGATCTCCATCAACGAACGACTTGGACGCGATGCGACGATCGATTCGGTACCCGAACAAACACGTTCAACGAGTCGTGGCCCATTTCCTGATAAACGTACGCGTTCCGATCGACTTTACGGCGTTTCTTTCACGATTCTCGATTCGAAAACGCTCCTAGTTTACTACGATCCAGGCCAAACCGATCCCACGTTCGTAAACGTTAACGTTCTGCGAGATAGAATAACGATCACCGATAGAAGAATATAATATTGCGTTTTTTCTAGTTTAGATTTATCGATTTCCAACGTAACGCGTTTCTGCGTTGCCTGAGCTCTGTGTATGCCTATGTCTGTGTCTGTGTGTATGTGTGTGTATGTGTGTGTGCGTTGCGCGCGCGTGTGTGTAACAAAAAAATCGATGAAATTTAAGACTGACGAAAGCGACAAACCTAACGTACGAAGCTTTAATTACTGTCTATAGATCGAATGGTTACGAGGTGTGAACGAGTATTCGTCGACGGGTAACTGGAAAACGGAATCGGATCAACTGATACACTTCCACGAGCGAAAGTTGTCGTTTGACTCTTTGTTCGCTTCTCGCAACGAGCCAACTAGAGAATACTTGAACGGGACCAACGAAACACGCGTTTCAAATAGATTTAAACAACGAATTGCGTCGATTGTAACGAGGTGCAGAGTTCTTTTTACCAGACACACTGCTGTCGGGTCAAAGATTACCGTAATAATCGTCCACGTCAGCAAACTCTTGCTTCGAAACGTATCAACGATTGCGATCAACACTTTTAATAGTGCGACTAACGCGTTAAGATTACCGCGTTCAGTAGGTAGAATGTTCTATTTGCAATCTTACTTGCGATTCGTTTCTTTTTAAGACTTGACGAATGCCAGTGACGCGATTACCGCTACGAAAAGACTATGGTCGCTGGGATTTGATCGAGTGCTCTTATTACGCAGCTACGTATACTCCTATTTCGTGTTTACGTTTAAACATGAAATACAAAATACGGTCAATGCTTGCGGTCATCCTAAAAACGTACGATTTTATATTGTATTTTAATAATAATTATCTATTATTTTATTATACATTTCCTTCCATCTAATTTTATCGACGCCAACTTTCCATTTCCACCAGTTTCAACCAAGACGGAGCAGGGTAACATTTTTTTAAATATCTTCGGACCGCATTATTTTCAAGTACATCATTTTAACCATCAACACCTCTACGAGACAAGTACGTTCATAATAAACAAACATCACTGGGCGAAAGATCTACTCGTATACCTCCTCTCTGACAATACTTTAGAATCTTTGATGAATCAATGAGAATCTAAATTAACCTAAGCTCTATATTTATGATGATCTACGCAAAGGGGATCGCAGCCATTTGCTAATATTATTTAATTATTAATTAATAATTGCATTACCCAGCTAAGAGCGATACGATTATTAATTAAACGGTAAATAATATTACCCAGGTCTCACCACGTGGAGGTTGCTGCGAGTGGAGACCCAAAGGGACATAGATGGAATCAAAGTTCCATCGATCTCCCTTTTACATTCTTACAAGCTAGATTACTAAACTAGAGAGATAGAAGGAAGCAATGTTCCCTCGATCTTCTAGTTTAGTTGTAACAAGTAATTATTTAGTTTAAAAAGGGGTGAAGCTATATTGTAGGATACGCGACGCGACGCGACGCGACGCGATACGACGCGATGTCGATCAGCAGTGATCGACGCAAGGAACGAGATACGCGACACGCGAACCGAGTAACTGGTCAAAAGGTTCAGCTCCGTTGCCTCTTGGCAAGTCCAATCGAAGGGTAAGGGAATCGACGCACCCGACACAGAGGTTCCCCATTTCTCCCACGCATCCTGTTGGGAGCCAGATGGACCCAACTAAGGACGGCTGACTGAGAGAGGGAGCGTGTGTCGGGGCTACCGCAGACAGGAACAGTCCCTGATCCCCTCTGCGGCCGAAATACTCTTTCCCTTGGATCGTCTCGCCAGAGGACGGCAACTGACCCTTCGGACCAGCTAAACGGCCGATCACTTGCTTTCTACATCAAAGCAGTGGTGGGTGATCGGAACGAGAAACGGGACAACGGGTGAACGAGAAACTAGTTGGTAAAGAATTACTTGGCACATACGCAGACGCATACAAGGGAGTCGTCGATGCTTATATCTAACTTAAATGTACCAAGCAATTATTTTGTTTAAAAAGGGGTGAAGCTAAATTATGAGATACGCGACGCGACGCGATGCTGAACCGTGCAGCAAATCTTCGGATCGAAGCAAGAAACGGGAGAACGAGTGAACGGGAAGCTAAGTTAATAATTGCTTGGTATCGCGGCCTTAAAAATAAATTTAACCTGGATATAAAAGTCCCTCGATGTCCTTGCGTTGTCGTCCCACGATGTCCCACGATGATGGAGGCCTGTAAGTAAGCTAAAACTAAACAAGCCTGCATTTACGATTAGTTAAACAATTAAATATAATAAATTGGGAAACGCGAAGTCGTGAAATAAAATAAATGGACCCAGAGAAACCAGTGACGTAAAATAGACATGGACAAGACATGCACAAGATATACAATAAGCAACATTTAAGACGAGAATAAAATATGCAAACAAACAAGGAGCCAGAAGTAAAATATGTAAGGAATTCAGACAAATGAAAACGGAGAGAAACGATAGATTGAGGCCCAGCAAACATTATTTGAATGTCGAAAAAGAAGTGAGAGATTGGAGATTGAGATATCACTCACCACTGTGTCGATAGTGGTCAATGAAACAGATTTGTACATGCAATATAGAATGTGCATCGAACAAACCAAACAAGGAAGGAACAAGTATTGAAATATGGAAGGAGATTAAAGAAGTAAAAGCAAGATGAAACCCCACATTCGAGCCCAACAGACGCTCGAAGGTCGAAAAAGAAATTAGAAAGAGGAGAGGCGGAACTCGCTCACTACTGGTCACTAATGGTCGATATTGGTCAGCAAAGTTGACCAGTGCTCGACCAGTGATCAGTAGCAGTGAGTAAAGGTGGAGCGCGGACCCACGGGGGTCCGTCACGTCCGCCAGCGCCGAGAAAGAGAGAGGGAGTGAGAGAGCCACCGGCAGGTAACCTCAGGTAGAGGAATTAAAGCGGTGGGGATGACCGTCCTTGGCGAGTTCGCCAATCAATTAACGGTTAACCGTGCCTTTGATCGAAAACTAAATATTCTACGCAAAATGGTCTTAAAACAATTATTTATACAACCCACGCCATCGAGCATTATTTTAACTATTACCTGATGTTAATTAATAATTATTGCAAACAATAGGTATGAAAATATGGACACATTCGAGGAGACTGAAAGTTTCTTTGAATTTCTATCGAGAACCAAGGTCGTACATCGCGTATTCATTTCTTCGACCTTCTGTCCTTTATACGATACTTTCTTTTGTATAAGCTAAAATCGCAAAACGATTGTTGCGACGGATGTTGCAACGCTCAACAAAACACGCATTAATGCACACGAAGAGAAGTTGCGTATTTTGGATCGTAAATCATTCTTTTCGAAAGTATCGATCAGAGCTGCTACTTATCCTGCGATCATTGACGGGAAACACGCTGAACAAATAATACGAAATAGTATTCACTATACTAATACTAACATTACATATCCCGAAAGAGATCAGCAGTTAGCCGAAACATAGTAATTCGTTTCAAGTGTTTCCTCGTCTTATTAAAAAGCATTCGCACAATTCTGTCAAGTTTAACACGAATTGGGGGAAAAGAACAATTCGTGGTAAGCACCTACGATTAATTTTATTCTTTTAATCGATATTGTATATACATTGGATATTACACTTAACAATTCACCGCGTAGAAACGTTTTACAAAGAATCGCGTATAAAATAGTCGCCTCTGTGCATAGATCTTTTCATTTATACATATCTATGTATATAACTATATTCGAACGCATATAATACAATAACGTTTTACGCAGAAACCAAAGTTTATAGCACTGTGGAACCTTGGGCTGTATTGCTCGCGAGTGATATCAAAGGAACGACCGGTGGTACGAGATAGAATATAATCTGTGTCGCGCGTTTCAACGCAACTAAACTATCGAGCTTAGGAATTGTGTAATGTATTATTGAAAGCATTGTACGAAGTTTCCAAGTCAAAAATCAGTTGTCTTACTTGCGTTTCGGATAACTCGTCGGACGCGGACATGTTATTAAGAGTTTGCAGCCACTCTGCAACTTTTTCTTTTCCATCAAAATCGCTTGGCAGTATACTGAGACGATTCATAGTATCCACCAAGTCCCTTAGATCTGGATGCAGCTGATCCATAGCTTTGATTCCCAGTCGTAATTTATCCATTATCGTAATGAACAATTCTACGATATCTGCGATACATTTGGATGTGTTGCCTTTATCATCCTTTATCGTGATCGGTCTATCCTCCTTGATCCTTTCCAGTGCAGCCGGACAATCCAAACGAAATACCCTGGCAAAAGCATCTATGGTAGGGAACTGATCGCTTTGCACCTAAACAGACAACAATTATAGCTAGAAAACTATTCCCACGAGATTGTCGGTAGCAGAAAGTACCTGTTTGAAAGCTGCTTTGTATTGCACCAGTAGTTTGCTGCAAGCAGCTGTGTATTCTTTCGGAGTCACGCAATCTCTGATGTAAGCTTTTTCTAAATGTTGTAAAGTATTTACAACGGCATACAAATCAGCTTGGTTGTCATGTTTTTCTCTCTCCCTGGCATTCTTGTAAAGCTTCACTTCTTCGTAAAGTTCGGGTCGATCTTGAGCTATTGACATTATTATTCACAGTACCAGCGTTCTAAAACCCAAACGTTTCAGGTTAGGTATACCACTGACAATAAGTGGCGTAAAAACCGCGAAGGAAATAAATTACTATGGCACAACGATCAAATAAAGAGACGCCTCGGTAAATAGTATACACTTAATGGCATGTAAAGTATCAAACAATAGGATAAGATTTCTATAAATTAGTAATATGAATTCGATAATGTACTTTTCACCTTTTTTACCTTTCTATTTATTATGGCTCCACGTGTTTTTTCAAACTAAGGAATGACCGTAAAACTTGCATAGAAACAGTTGCATTTGCAAAAATTAAACACACTTTTTTATAGACTGACGTATGTACGTTCAATGACGTGTCGGACAAGGGAATGTCAGCCATCTATAGGATGACACGCGACTTTAAAAATCATGTACCTACTTTACCCGTTATGAATGCAACAAATAATACAAACAGACATTTCTAAACAAATTAAAAAGTAGTCGTAAATATGAATTTCCCTGTTAACAGATTTATTACAACACAATGGTGATATCGATCAATTAGCGTGTAACGTGAAAAAACTCGATTATCATCGACAAGAATTTTAATCGATAAATAACTTCTCGATTACATTAGGTTTGTCAAAGCGATTTCTACAAGAGAATATCATTTTGCCTGCAATGATACATGGACAGTCGAACTGTTTTATAATCTGTTGCTTAACACAATTTCTTCTTATTCTCTCTTGTTCTACATCGATTTTTTCATTATCAGATACTATATTTATATATGTTACATTTAATATTAGTTCCTTATCGTCTAAGATTTCCCAAGGAGGGAAAATTTCTACCGTACTTGTGGATTTCAATTCAATTCTACCCACGATATCAGGAATCGTCATGATCTTTATTAATCTAGGGAATTTGTTTTCTTCTTTACGAGGTAATAAATTAAATGGATCTTTGGTCGCGAATCCTTCCAAAAATTGCCTGCTAAAGCGAGTCACGCATGCTTGTACATGAACTGTAACACACGCTAGAGAAGAACTGTCTTTTGCTGCTTGTTTAACTTGGTGTTTCCATATACGTACACTCGATATTTGCCCGTTAATCAAAGATTGCAGTTTCTCGGACAAACTACCTCTGTAACATAAACAGAAAGGAATATTTATAAATTATTCTTACGACCGCAAGAAGCTGAAAATAACAACAATTACCGTTTTGCCTTTCTCTTTTTCTTTCCAGAATCCAAAATATTTAAACACATCGACGGATCTAGGGTCGGCCTTTGCGGCGATTCTTCCGTGGTAATCATAACTCCAGTTTCGGACGAATTGTTATCCGTCAGATCGTTAATTTGTGACGAAATTTGAGAAATTTTCTGAGAAGGATATATACTGGGAAGTTTACTTCGAAATTTGTCTGCTTCCAAAAAAAAAGTTCGATCCGAATCTTTGGTAGACGTTTGCGAGTGATTGGGTACGAACTTGGACGCACAAGTAGATAAATTATCCATTAAATTGTGATTAAAAATTTCTACGATAGGAATTGTATCTTGCGTATTTGCATCTTCTATACAATTGCTAAGACTTTTGCTGCTGCCTGAATTTACTAAACCTACAGGATTATCGCTATCTTCGTTGCTAGATTCTATTTCCATTTTTACCATACCTTTGGTATCTTTTGGACTGTCTTCGATATTTAATCTCACCTCTGAAACCGGTGAATCGGATTCAATAGAATCTTCTGGAATTTTAGTACTTTTACTTGCCATAGATTCTGCATTATCATTTTGAGAACTATTTTCCAACTTTCTTAACAACATAAGTCTCTTTTGACTAGACATAATTTTGTACTTGTTTTTCAAGCACTGTGGATCAACTAAACAACGCAATAACACATTATTCATATTAGCGTCCGTGTAACTGTTTCCTACTTTATCAAAATCTGTTTCCTGCAAATTCATCTCCCTAAGTTTTCTCCTTTTCTTTTTATAAGAATACGAGTACCTATCCAGAACAGGTGATATTTCTACATTATTATGCACTTTTGTAAGACTAGGAGAAGAAACTGCACTAACTTTGGTGCATTTATTATCAATTCGATCTAGAGCTTTCCTCTGAGAGTTTTCATCCGTAAATTTTCTTTTTCTTCTTTTGTAGGAATAACAGCTTCTATCCAATATCGGAGATGTACTTGTATTGACTTCTTTAATACGATTTCTACTGTTCTCAACATTAAATAAATTTCTCTTAATGCTTTCTTTTCTGTCCATGCTACTTTTCTCTATGCATTTATTATTCTCAGCGGAGACATTTAATATTTTTGTATTAATTTGATTTTCTGCATTTTTTAAACACATACGTTCGGTGTTGTCTACAAACTTATTGTTTAAGCTATATTTTTGCCTAGCTCGTTTCCGATGTGTATGAAAAACCGGAGATTTTTCTGCGTGTTTAGTCACGGATGATCCAAGAATAGGAGATGTTTGAGGCGATTCATCCGAGTCGGGAACACGATTTCTGTGAGTTTCAATCCAATTACGTACAAATTCGTTTTTTACTGTGCATGGTATTGTCAGGACATTTCGGTCGATCGACAGCACACCATCCTTTTGTCCATGGGTTTGTTTCACCACGTCCAAGGTTAGAATCTGCTGTCCAAAATTTAATTTTCTCACATGATTCGGTTTCTTTGACTTGTAATTGTCATCCTTTTCAAGGATTTCCGTTTCCATTTCGTTCGTGTTGCGTGGGGTGAAAATAAACTTATTCTAATCGTTTGCTACGAAATTTGTAGATCACGTTGTAGAGCACACACCATGTTTACAAATACTTTCGCCATTTTGACCAATCTGTACTTACATTGCCATGGCATAGAAGCAAGACCAACAACAGTTCAAACTAACGCCATTAAAGTGTTTAAATCGAAAAGTTTCGTAAAGTCATTTTTGGACAATGAATGAAGGAGTTAATCGAGAGGGAAAAATATTGAAGTACGTTTGTAGAAATGGCTACGACGTATGAATATGGAAGAAAGAGACGATTGATTTGATCAATAATTCTAAATTATTTTTCACCTCGTTTATTTTTCTAACAAAAACAGAGTTGGGAGTCTGTTTGATTTTGGCGCCAATAACGTAAAAGGCGCCAATAACGTGAAAAGCGCCACTACTCGTGCTGAAAAGGAATTTGTACCGTTGCAAGTGAACTCTTCCCGTGCATTTTTTCGATAGTCGAATAGCAAGGATACTCAGTTCCGTAACTCATTCTAATAAGTAGATAGAAAACGAAGAATTACAAGGTTTCTTACTTCGCTACCCTCTTGAGGATAATGAATTTCAGTGGGAGTATGTTTGAACGTTGCTAATGCGTTCGCTAGTAATGCTCATACGTGCATATAAAATGAATTTATTAACTTCTTCAGGGATAATGGCATATACGTGTAAGTTTATCTTTTAGTTTACTTTGAATATTGTAGCATAGAAGCAACTACTGACATTGCGAATAGAGAATCGTAAATAAATTTCCCGGAAAGGAATAATTTTTTGTTGAATTATTCTTCGTGTTGTTGAAGGGTGTCTGGCGAAAGACGTTTCGATCAAGAACATAGTTTGCTTTCACGTAAAACCGACCCTGCGGAATGAATTAAGAAAAACCATGGAGATGACGCACGTCGATGATACGTCTATATTGATCAAACTCCGGTTCAAGAGAGAACAACTTGAAACGTACCCTCTCCCTCCATCGGAATACAGTAACAGCATCCTGAGAGGTAGGTAGGTGTTATTATCGTTATCTGTTTGGCTCGTTTGACAATGATCGATCTAGCCATGCGACAACCTGACAGTGAGATATCGCGACAAGATCAGAGACAATACTCTAAATGAAATTTCTGTAGTACCGTCCCGTAGAGTTGTTTGATAAAGTGGACAATCTGCAAGACATTGTAACCTTGGATAAGCTTGGTGCACGAGTTATTATACGTAGAATGAAAGCAACAATATACGTATAGAGAGAGAAAGAAAAGAAGACTGTCGTAACTGCACCTACGACCAAAATAGAACCGTGTTTGATTCGAACAGTTGTAAGATTGTTTCTGGTAGCCATTGGTCGATTCGGGGTTTCCTCGCGTTCCTGGCGGTCCTCGTTTACCAAAGTCGGGATAGAGAGGACAGGGTTCGCCGGCGTTGAAATCTGAATCGGCGAGAGAGGTCCGGTTCGTGCACGCCGTACAATTACCGGGCGGCGAGTGTCGAGGAACCCCCTTTTATATTAATAGTCGAGATAGTGGTCGAGCGTGTAGCGCGATAGGAGAGTGGCGATCGTTGACGGCGGGGGAGGGCAAGGGAGAGTCCCGGAGGATCGTGGAGGGAAACGGCGTACGAGAGGGACCGCGAGAGCGGGAGAGGATCGACGATAGAATGGTCGAGGGGGACTGAGACGGAGCGAACAAGTGAGGTGGGTCCAAGGGGGACGTTCGAAACGATAGATAGGAGGACGGGATACCCGTGGACGGACCCCTTGTATCCACGGTTGCTTCAGTTTCAGTTCGCGATGGAGGCTACTTGCTCCTTCTGGTGGTAGCTGTCGGTCTGTTCTTCGCCGAGGGAGATCGAGCGAGTGCGAGAGAAATAGTTTAAGGGGGGTCGAGGAGTGCGCTTGGTGCGCGGGAAATATCCTGGACGTCTAAAGGTCGAGGAACAGGGGTGGATCGGGTCTAAGAAACTCAACGGCTTCTGATAAGCAACAGGCTCAGGGGGGGGGGGGGATAGGATGAATGGTGAGATTGGGGCCGTCGCGTCGCAGGATCGAGGATCGAGAGACGTAATCGAGTGGATGGTTGGATCGATCGTTTTCTGGGTGTAGGACTACCCTAGTAGCGTGGGATCGCGGACTCCGGTGCGTCGGAAGCGTAAGAAAACGTTTCCTTTTCGGACCAGGAAGCTCGAGAAGCTCGAGAAACGCGAGCCGTTGGACTGTGCAGTGATTCGCTCGCATCGACCAACAGTGTTCCTTTCGGTAGCCGCTGCGTGCATAACTGGCTGGCGATCATCTGTGCGCGCGACGAGACGCGAAGGTGTTTACGACCGACGCGCGCGCGATCGATTCCTGCGATCGATCCTCTCGCGTCGCGTCGTCGTGCAGTTCCGGCTGCAGTTGGTAAGATTCCCAAACGACAGGGAGAACCTTTCGCCAGAAAGCTGGGACGGCCAGAGAGAGAGATTCCGGAAGTTTGCGACCGGTAGTACGAAACGCGCCGCGAGGGGGAGACGAGTTAATATCGATTGAGATCGAGTTAAGGATTTTTATTGTGGGAACGATTAGCAGGAATTTTACGCATTGTTGGTACATCGAAGCGTGTCTTTGTTAAAACCGGAGCCTTCGAACTGCGTATATTATTTGCCTATGGGATCGAACGATTCCTCAAACGATTCCGGGGGGAAACAGAATACAGTCTCGAATGTTTGCCAACTTGCGAAAAATCTTGGAGCAACTGGGCAAACATCTTGTTGGCCGTTGCGCTTAGGGTCTATGAACGTCGATGATACGTTCTTTCGTAGAATCAAACACATTTCTGGATAGAGGATACGATATATGTATTCTATTTTAGAGACATTTCAAAATTAGCATATCAAATTCCGAATAAAACAAAAATTGTCAAGTCACGAAGCATATTGTATATCTCGAAAACTATTACGTTAAAGACGAACGGACGTTAATAAATATTTACTCGGAACTTGGCACCTTTGTAATTTTCGCACAAAGATATTCCATTTTGAAGATTGTTTTCCTTAATGGAATGTCATATTTTATTTGTTCTCGTATCAAGTATAAATGCTCTTTGCAAATATAAATTGCTCCTTTTCCCTGCTTGTTTCTATTAAATTCAAGAGTATGATGCTACGATATTAACTATGATTACCTCGTTGTCTACGTAAATCTGACAAACGAACAATTAAAAAACAGACACTTCTCCAATCTTCAATCAACGATAAGGCAGATCGTTCCGCGCGACTCGAATAAATCGTCGTTACGTAACGCGATAACGAATCTATCCGTAGCATTCAATGTCGAAAGAAAGAAAAAATAAAAGAAAAAACCGTATCCGCGACTTGATTTAATCCGTTTCGCGGTTCTGTTACGTTCTAGCCGGTAACTTAATTTCGACAGGTTCGTTTTCGTCATCGACGTCGACGGAAATTTCATTAAGCGCGGAGACAACAAGTGCTCGGTAAACAATTTGTTTTTACGACGAACAGACGTTATAAACGGTGGCGGGAACGCGGAGATAACGCGGCAACTGTTTTTTACGGCCGCGTGCTCTAGCTACCGGGTAGTTAAACAACCGCGATTTACGACGAGCTTGACGCGAGTACGCGAGAAATTATTTTTATTCGATTAGCGAGCGTTTCTTTCGATGCGCCATTCATAGTATACATATGTATACGAGCCTTGCGTCGTCTCGATTCCACCCCGTCGCACGATCTTTCAAAGGGAAGTTCGCTCTGGCCTCGTTGGTTATTTATTATTCTGATGCAAAGAATCGATCTATTATTACCTTCTAACAGAGATCGTCAACTTTTTAATAACGCAACATTAAGGTCTGCAACGAGGGTTGACACTCTCAGTTGTTCGAATCATTGAAAAAGGAACGGTGACACGAGGTTTTCATGATTGCTTTGATCGAGAACCGATGTGTAACATTCCGAAGAAATACAACTCTTTCTCTTTCTCGGCGGTCTCACACGCTCACGGCCTTGCTCGTAACAAACCTGATGTTTACGTCTTGGACCCTTACCGATTATTGCATCAATGCGCGAGACTTGTCTATAAAGCTATGGATTTAGACGGAGCCCGATAAACTATTGTACAATTTGGGGACCATTCGGGCCGAGATATTTCGGACTGTGCCACGGCTGGCCGATTTTTTTACGCAACCCCTAGCTCGTATCGAATACCGTCGCTAGGTATCGTACGAGTGCCAGCAGTAAATTTGGTTTGGGTTCGAGTAGGAGGAAGCACGAGCGAGAGCCAAGTATGGGACGGCGTGCGAAGCGGGACGACGTTGTTTGCACTAGTGACGTCACTCGCAATTGTAGCGACCGATCAGAGGCTCGAGAATGCACGCGCGTGAATGCGTACGCGATCCGAAATCCGGGATCCGGGATCCGGGATCCGGGATCTAGGGGAGTGGAGCTCGCAAGAAAATCGATACGATCGATTACGAATCGACCTGACCGATATCGATTGGAAATCTTTGCAATCGATTTCTCGATAAACTTTACTATTGGTCACACATAATCCCCCATTTGTAGATCTTTATAGAACGGTCGAAAGCCTTCGAAAAAGAAATATAACATGTACGCTTAAGATGGTAGCTCGTACGTGTTATAAAAATCGTTTCGTTCTTGGACCAGAGTGGACCCGTTTAACCGTCGATCGTCGATTCCGAAAGATGTGACGCGACGTCGGCGGGGAGGATTAGTAAAACGGTCGTATTACGTATATTGTCGTCGATGTCGTGACCATTTCAATCGGTATCTTTCCAGTAGTAGTCGAAAGGGAACGCCTCTCGTCGAGGCCACCGCGGACAATACGACGTTGCTCGCAATTTCCTTTCCAAGGGTTCGCGGCTGGCGTCGATGGAAAACGATCGCGATTCGATAGAGTGTTGTTCCACGAGACACCATGGGAAGGAGCTTGAGGCGACATCAAGGCCAAGATCGTCGACGTCCGGTCTCCGACTCTCGTTTCTGCAACTTTTCTGGCCTGGCCTGTCGCGTAGACGGGCAAATTGTCGAGACGTTCGCGTCAGTTTCCGGCGTCGCGACACGCGTAACGTTCGCCTCGACGCTCATTGTCCGTCGCATTTTAGCGAAAATTCCCGATGGTCCCGATGGCCCAAATTTCAAAAATTATATCCATCCGTTCCATTCCTAATCGTTGTATTCCATGACCGTACAGTCCGACCGGAAGTCGAGAGAAACGATGGTGTAAAACGAATGGAGAAAAGTAGAACGTAATCTATTTTGTTTGCAACGGTTAGGCTGATTAAGCGCCAGGCATTCATCGGAAATATGTTAGCGTTTCGCAAACATACTCTCAGACGAAAAGTGTTTCCGTGACTAAACAATTTCTGTGACTAGATTTAACGTGTCAACCGCGAGTGGCGGAGTTGCAACTGGCACGACACAATATTTGGAAAGTCCACACAGTCTGTCTGATAACTAAGCTGGCTGATTTTGTAACAAATGCAATAATGGTCGTATCGACATAAATCTTACGTTTCGTTCCAAATATTTTCCGTTTAAGCAGCTATCGGGCGCCTAGCCAAACGGTTTTTCGAGTTTCGACTTCGGAATCGTCTCTAATACACACCTTGATCGTCGATCGCGAAAGTAGAAAATAATCTTATCGTTAGCCACTGTCAAATTCGAGTCTCGTTCAAGCCGTTTTAACGATGTTTATCGATCAACGAGTCGAAGCAAACGTTTACCGATTCTAACAGCAGGGCTTTCCTCTGCGGAAAAGTACCAGAAATTTATACAGGAATGTATCGAATTTCTCGCACGAGTTGCAGAGTTAAAATTAAATTGTTTTTTTTTCTAAGGCACGATCAAGCAATTAGAAGTAGATGTTTGCGACTATCGGAATAGCTTGGAGCATTTATCCCGAAACGTATTTGTAGAATCGATTTCAATTCATCGTCTCAACTCTGTAACTATGCACGATGTAACTGAATAATTCAGGCAAATATTATTCGGTTTAGTAAAGTCCAGAAGAACGATACTTGTATTTAGTATTGCTCGAAAGAATTTGCTGCTTATCGAAAAATTAGCCACCATCGAGCGTTCCATTCCCAACTATTATTATTAGACTGCGGATTTTGATGCAAATTCATATGTTTATTCATTGCAAACGGTTGTCTCAACCCCCAAGTATAGTAATTCGTACCTTTTGTATTTCTTATAAATGCATCAATTGTTATCTGCAGTGGTAAAGAAAGAGATACAAGTATAGAATATAGTTACATAACAAAGGTAAACAGAAAAATAAAATCGAATGTTACGAAGGCTGTGAATAATTACAAGGAGATGCCAAGTAAAGAGTATTTAAACTATAGAATTGATAAATGTGAAATAATTGAGAAGGACGGATTAGGTTGACACGATAATCCTTTTTGTAGGATGCACGGCGAATCCAAGTTTGACCAAGGTCCGTAGCGTACGTAGATATCGTTCGAATCGAGGATCGATCGGCGATCGACGATCGCGCGGAATACGGTGACCTGGGAGTACGGGTGAGAAGACGGTGCGACGGTGGCCGCGGAGAGGCGGAGGGACGCCGTCGAAGAGGATGCTCGGGAGGATCGGAAGAGAGGAGGTGTTCTCGGGCGATGGCTGATCGCGGCCGGCGCTATGCTCGCGGCATATAAGAACGCGCGAAGACGTGCGTTCGCCGCGCTTTACGCGATTCCGAATTCGACGCTGCTGGCACTTCCGTTCGCGCGACGCTCGCGGGACGCAACGATCGGCCGCACCAGAACAACGCGGAACGGGAATCGCGTTCACCAGTTCACCGAGGACAAGCTTCGCGGAGGACGCGGACGCGCTATTTTCGATCTCCAAGTGTCCCCTTTTCGATTTCGCGAACATTTCGACTCGCCCAGTGCCCAGTGAAGAAACCCCATCGGGCATGAAATCCCTCGAAAGCTTCCGGTAGTTCCGGTGTCACTCGAGAACCCATCTTACACGGATTTCTTCGTCTTGTCTTAAACCAAGTTGAACTTTTAACGAGAATGTAAGAACCAAAAACTTGGAAGAAGGTGGTACCCGACGAAGCACACTGTTTTTGTGCGGTTTGAACATTTTTCGAGTATCCGGTGTCGCAGACAGGGCCTTCCAAAAGGAGAAACAGAAAGTTCGATGGTACCTGACTAGAACTTGGAACGACTCGGTTTCTTGGACTCGATCAGAGAGACGGATTCGATAAGAAGAAGGATATCGGTTGGAAGGTGGAAGATTCGACCGAAATCTTGCACGAAAGTATCAATTGCGAATAATTGTAAGGATCAGAGTGTTTGGAAAGGTATCGGGAGGGGTGGATCGGGCGCGATAGATCGTAACAAGTCGGCGTCCATGCCCTCGAGAGCGCGTCGCGGCGGTCATGCCGCGTGATTCGAGGGTGCAGGTTTGTCGGGTAACCGTCGCATCGCGGAGCATCGCGGTCGAGGTGTCGTTTAAACGCGGCGGAGCCTAACTCCGGAAACATGAGCTCGATCGACTTCGACGAGGTGTTGGTGCACGTGGGCGAGAAGGGCAAATACCAGAACATTATGTACTATCTTCTCTGCATACCTGCCACTCTACCAGCCGCTTTCCTGGCGTTCTCGCAAGTGAGTCATCAGTCATCTTAACAATCTTTCCAATTCTACTCGCAAGCGTTTGGAACCTCTTTATATATGTAAATGAAATTTCTGCTTAAGATTTTGCAATGTATCAGGAAGTAGATTACACCGTAAACGATCAGACTCGCTGTTATCTCTACATGGTGGTTATTTTATAGATATAGAGACATTAGACTACCCTCTACTTTGTATAGAGACATCAGAGGATCGAGAAACTATCCTCGTCGTACCGGTAAAGAAAGGTCTGTGGACGATTTGATCGGCAGGTGTTCGTGAGCGCGTCGCCGGATCACTGGTGCAGAGTCCCGGAGTTGGAGAACCTGACGGAGCTGATGACGCTCCAGGAACGGAAGACCCTGTCCGTGCCGTACGTCGAGAAGTCTGACGGGACGCAAAAGTACTCCAAGTGCACGATGTACGACGTCAACTACACGGCGATCATCGAGTCGTGGCTGGGGCACGGGATCCTCGAGAACGCTACGGACGGGGCAGAGTATCGATCGAGGGATCGGTTGCCATCGCCGCCTGTCGCTAATCCTGACTGGCCGGTCACCAAGTGCCAACACGGCTGGATCTACGACAACCGGGACTACGACAGCACCCTCGTCACCGAGGTAAACTCGACTTTCTCTCTTTAAGCATCGAGGACTCATCTTTGGTGCACGCGACTACCGCGATCTCTCGAATGGCAGGCGAATCTTTGGGAATTTTTAACATGAAAATTGTACTTTTAGAAATCCTGAGAAACGGTGTATATCTAAATTTGTCTCCGCTCGATCAAGGGATGGAAGGTCCCTGTTTGCAAGAAGAGATTAAAAATTTCAAGCAATAACGAGTGAAACGCGGAGACGTTACGCCACGGCGAAAGGGGTTAAACGGCGATGTCCCAGTTGATGTCTCGGGTATTCGGTTTCGTCGGATGTTTTTCGTGTTTCGTCGAGCGGAAAAAAGCGGTCGCGCGCGAGTGGAACGACATCGCGGCGTCTCTCCGCTTTGCATAATCCTCCTACGCGTTATTCCGCCTCTCAGGGGAATTTCGCGCCGGAGCAAGCGAGTCAACGAGCGAGTCGTGTTTCACGGGGCAACTCGCCTTGGCCTTTGTCGATTCGTCCCAGGCGGATTCGCGTTAACGTCGGCCACCAGGCTTGGGTCCCGTTCGTGGAACGCCGAGCGATCGTTCGCGCTCGTCCCCGATACGTCGCGTTAAGCTCCTCTTTCCGCCCGATAATTTTCTTTTCCGTGAAAGCTCGCGGCGGACGACGCGAGTCGTCGACGCGTTTACCAACCGCCATCGTTCCGCGCACCGCCACAACGGCGTTCGAATCGGGACAACAACTTGAAAAGAGATCCATCCGTCGACTTGCTTTCGCGTTGCTTTTTGTTTCATCCTTTCTCTCGCTTGCTTCGCCAACTGGTAGTTGGTAGCAGCCTCTAGATCCCCAGAGTCGGTCGTTTTCGGCCTTCCCGTACTCTTCTCTTGACCAGTGTCGGATGACGCTCGTTAGTCAGGCTATAGACCTAGATGATGGTCCGTCTAATCGTCTGGTCCCATCCCTCCCACTCGTTTCTCCACTCCGAGCTATTAATTCAGGGTACTTATTAAACTTGTTGAGCAATGTTTCGATCATCGGAACCGCGAATCCCTTCGAAGAACGTGACGAGTCCCAGGAAGCGCGATTCCACCGTTGCTCACGCGGCGAACGACGTCCCCGCTAAATTCAACACGCCTGATCGGAAAGATTTTTCCAGCTACGAGAGCTATGTATGATGCATACCTGGAAAAAATAACATGGTAGACTCGTTACTACGAAAGTCTCGCGGTCGTCGCGTCTGTCTAGACATTTGACTCACGCTCGCGATTCCAGGTACAAAGATTAACAGTGAAATGGTACCAACAGAGTACCAGAGACTCGATCTGCTTAACGTTTATCTCTTTTGTGGTGAAATGGTTTCCATTGATTAAGAATCTTTGTGATCTTTGACCGTGTTTGGAACGAAGAGGATGGAAGGGGGCGATCGGTGGACGGTCCGGCATCCAAGAGAGCACGTTTCTCAGAGTCCGCCAAGATTCCACAACGCGCGTGCAAACGTCCAAGTGTCGCGTTGCGTCACGTGGCAGAGCGTCTCTCCGCTCGCGTCCATTAACGCGTTATTAAATTGCCGCAATTAGACAACGCGGTGAGCCGGTTGCCGTTGCCGCAACGAGGATCGTAACTCGCGGGGTCGAGGATCTAGGTGCTTCACGGTTCTCTTAAACCACTCAATTCCCCTCGATTCCCAGCGTGTTCGTCGCGACTATTTCCGTCGCGACGACGCAGAACCGCGAGACTTTGAGTTTTCCGTGAACGGACGCCGCGCCGTTTGCACGCCAAGGTCGCATCGAGACCCGGACGATCGAGACTCGACGGCCAGGTGAACAAGGTTGGCCAGCCACCCGAGTGACTGGCCGATAGTTTGCGGACTCTCTGGTGGCATCAGCAATTGCCGACCAATTTACCTACCCCCGCATCCGGTCATGCGGTCTGTCGCATCAAACGCCTCGTACAAACTGCCGGCTCTCTGCTTCTACGAAGGGTATATGTCCGCCGCGCGTGTACGCTCTGCTCTCGCGTCCGCGTTTCTCTCCGTCGTGACGCAAACAACGCTCGACCGAATTCGATGCTATCGCCGTCCTCCGCTCGCTCCTCGACGCCAAGCTCCACGGCTTCCAGCGAACCTCGATAACGCACTCGATCGTTATTTCTTTCTTTAGAAAACATCACGTACGCCCTCCCTTCTTTTAGATACATATTTTCGATCGCGGATGCTGGAAGGCAGAGTTTCGACAAACTTGATTCGCAAACGAAGAATCGAAACATCTTTGTTCGATGTTTGAGAGAAAAGTTTACGCAACTCTGCCGGAGCTGACGCGGCTAAGAACGTTGGAGTTGGGGTTAGAAACCCTGGTGGAACCAACGAACGACGACGACGACGACGACGACGACGACGACGACGACGATCTCTTCCTTTTCTGCTTTTCCCTCCGTTCCCCTCCGCTGATGCTCGGCCTCCCTCGCCCCGCTGTTTCCCTCCAGCGTTGTTGGTGACGGGCCCATCAGTGCTCGGGAGGGTGTGCGCGCCGCGAATTTACACGCTCCGGATTTACGCAGACGCATGACGCACAGAGCCATCGAGGCAAATCCTGTCCTTCCGTTTTCCGTTCTTGATCGCGCTCTCGCTTTCTATTCGCGCGAGACCGCTCACCCTGTTGCGACATCATCGTCCCGCGGCTTCAGATTTCTTCATCTGCATACGGATTAACGTCCCGGACGGGGACGGGATAAATTCTCACCCGAATAAACACCTCCAACTACGAACAAAACTGAAACTAACAAAATAGAAATTAAATCGAAGGTATCTAATATGAGTTAGGTCTGGGTTATAAAACTATTCATTAAACAAATTGCGACAATCCTCGTGCAACAAGATGAATCACGTTTGTACAACGCAGTAAATCACACTTGTATAACGCGGTACAAGCAGTTACAACTACAGCAATTACTTTTAAATGGAACTGGTAAAATTGTTTTCATTTTTCCTATCTCGGTATACAATAAATAAACGGGAGGACGATCGTAAAGAATACAAACTATTGTTTGCAAATTCGTCGAGCAATCAATGAGATCAACGCGTAGTAATTTGTTCGTGACGTTTGTTCATAAATCTCACGTGTTGTCGGACACAAACCGATCAGAATTGCGAAACGTGCGCATCGTAATACCACGAAGGACATTACAACGAAACGTTGCGTTAACTATTACGTTGAACCGTGACGCAATTACAGTTCGTTCTTAAGACCTAGCGAGACTTTGAAACGATAACTGTAGAATAAATATGCAACCGATAAAACATTTACCGACTTGGGTAAAGGTTCTCCATAACTGCAAATTCGAAATGGGAGTTTTGTAGAGGGTTGTCCCCTAAATACATACATGTAATAATTCGAGTTAAAGTTTCAGCATTCGCAGCTTACAAATTACAGCGGTCATCACGAAGGAGTAAATTTATTTTTGTGGCCCACCGTGGGCGATGACGTCCCCGAAAAGACAATGACCCCCACCGTGACGCGTCGATGATCGTCGCGGCTTGTTGGCGAACGCACGGAGCCAAAATCGCCCACGCGGTCGCGTTCCGCGACGGACTCTTGGCGTTTCCGGGCCGCGGAAGTCGCCGAGCGTTGCCGGTCGACGCGTACTTCCGGCGTTTCCCCGTCTCGGGCGAAGGAAAGTGTGGGCCACGACTTTCGGTGGGTCGTTCGCGAGGAACGAGCGCGAGTCGAGGCGCGCCGCGGTCATATCAATATCGTTTTCGAAGTGTGTCAGGGTGATAAAATATGCACGCGTCATTAACGTCCTACGGGCGCGTGCACTGCCCTTGACAATAACTCGACGTCGTCACCGAGAGTGCCTCCCGTATTTCCATGCAATTTACCTTTTGCGTTTCACGCAGACATCAAAAGTCCGTGAGTGGCAATTTGCTTAAATCAAACTTGGTGTTAAACCCATTAAACGCCCGCCGCGCCGGGCCGGGGCGTTTCATTTGCGCGAGGCCCGATCGACGCTCTATGAGAAATTTCGTTTGCACGGCTCTCTCTTTACCGTCCTTTTCTTTCTCGCGATCTTTTCTTCCCTGCCTCGAACGCTCCAACACCTCTATCTGGCCAAACGTTTTATCAACCCGTTCACGCCGCGCCAGCTTTTCGCGTCTCGATTTCTTTCTTCAAATTCTAAACAGTTGGACGGTGTATCTCTTGTTTCATGGCATCACCACCGTGACCACCAACGATTTTAGTTCTATACAATTGTATTATATGAAGACTGTTTATATTTGGGTAGAGAAACGATCAAGAGAGGATTCTCGAGGGGGGTCGCGAGTGGAAAATGGGAAGCGAGAATCGAGAACGTCGAATGCACGAAAGGTTTAAAAGCACGGATGAATCGTACGAACAAAGTTAACAGGACTAAGCGGCGTGTATTATTGGCTGGCTTACAAATTCTGGCTATGGGGTCAGAGTTAATCAAATTAGCTCTACATATACGTCGCGTCGGTCGGCAACGAAAGAGCGGCGTGCCGCGCAAGGGCCTTGGGCAAACATTAAAACCTATTGATCCCAAGATACACGGGAGCCGTTTGATAAATCACTTTTTCGCTTTTCAACGTCCAACGCTTCGATAACTCTTCCTAACTTCGAAACGATAGAACTAATAGCAATCCAAGACAAACTTGCTTGCAACACTTTCTCATATTCTCAATGATTTCCAATGCTTTTATATCAAACGTGTATTTGTCAATTTTAGAGCGGAACAGAATCTTATCTTTGTTTTCAAAGTCGTTTCCCACGTGTCCCGCGTACACGTTGAAAATGACGATCCGTAGAAGGAGAAAGCAGAGGAGGAAGAAGCGGAAGAGAAACTCGAAGGGTCGGCGCGATCGTCATGGACGCAAATTCGGACGATAAAGAGCGGCGCTCGATGACGTTACGTGGGAATCGTTACGACGCGGCTCCTAATCGCGATCGTGGCGCGTACGTGAGCGCAATCTACAAATTCGTCGCGGTGCGTGAAGCACGTACATATGTGCGCGCACCGTACACGCGTCATGCGATTAATGAGATTCCGTCGCTGTCAGCGGCGCGGCGGCACGGCGTCGTGGCGTCGCGGCCCACGGTGGGACAGAGCTCCACAAAACCACCACATGGACGAAAATATCAATTGTTATTCCATAACAGAACTATTACAGCATCATTCTTCCAAAGGATCAATTCCTTAGGGCTCGAGACATTTTTGATATTTCGGTCCAGAAGATTCATGTGTGCCTCTCGACTATTTTATATTTACAACAATACGTTTCACTATCATTTACGATTTAAAATTAATTACTTTTCAGACTTTCATTCTTGCCCTGATAATAATAAGAAGAAGATAGCATCTATTAAGCATACCAAATCACAAACTGTGTTTGTTCAGTGAATAGATAAATATACATAATGGCGATCTATGATGGGTGAATCTTATCGTAAATGATATTTACCGACGTTGATAGAGAGCTTATTTCCGCAGAGTGTGATTTTTAAACGTATGGAGATCAAACTGGTGGAAAACTTGCACTTTTGCATACCGACGATTAATAGCGAGAGATACGATAATAAGATAAAGTAACGACCATAGATTATATTTAAAAAAGGTATGGTTCCCCGTCGCAATATCGTACGGTACGATATGTTTAACGACGGAGCAAAAATTTCAGGGTGTATCGAAAAATGCTCTGTACAAAAAATGGACCAAAAACACGGAATAAATAAATATACGATCGTAATTGGTCGGGCTAAATGCATTGCGGTCGCGCGCACGTACGGCGCAAGGGAGGAAGATAAACGACGTAACCGGAGCAATGACTTCTCCATAATGGAGCGATATCGCCCGCAGTGTTGTTGCATCGTTGCACGGCAGATACTCGCAATCTCGCTCCGTTTCGTCAGAATCTTCCTCGGGGTCGTTACGCCTCGACATTGTTTCGACCAACGCGTCATCCTGTTTCCCTTTCTTGGGCCTACAAATTAATACGTCGACCTTTAATCCGAACTTGGAAATAGTAAAATTAGTTTTCGAGTATCAAACTCACCACCGATCATTGAATACTTTTACGAGTAATTCCTATTTATAAGGTAAAATCGAACAACCTTTACCCTATCGCGTTACCGTCAAAGTCAGTTTGATCCAATGGGGGTCGCAAGGTCGACAGCCCCGAGGTAAACGAACACCAGAAGTAGAAACATCATCCAACCGGTTCGGATAAATGAAATTCCACTGTACTTGATACGCGTGCCAAATATGCTGTGCAAAATAAGCCCTAGAAAAAAGAAAGAAATTAGACACGGTTGCATAGGACGTAGCGTTTTAATGGCATTCTGCATCCACATAGCTAGACTTGGTATGCGACAGCAGCTGGTGGCCTTCCACCTCCACGACCTTCTTCTACGTCGGCAGCCTGTTCGGGAACGTCGTGTTCGGCTGGATCGCCGACAAATGGGGCAGAAGGACGGCCTTCTTCGCCATATTGTTTCTCGAGGTGATAATCTCGATCGCCACCAGCTTCAGCCCCAACTATGTCATCTACACGGCCCTCAGGACCGTCAATGGTCTCTTCTTCCCTGCCATCTATCAGATACCTTTCATTCTAGGTGAATAAACGACCAATTTAACAGACAGTCCAACTAGATTTTCTACCGGAAAACAAATTCTCAACTCAAACTTGCAACACATTCTCCTCTCTTTCTCCGTTCGGTCCAATTCCGATAACGAGAAATTTGCGTTGGGAATTTTTGTCTATTTCTGATATTTTTATATCTAATTCGATTGGATGAAAAACACCTGTTTCAGCCCTCGAGATGATGGGTCCAAGGTACAGAACGTTCGCTGGGATGGTGATATGCATGTTCTTCGCGTCTGCCATGTCTCTGCTAGCCTTGCTGGTAAACTATAGTACTAAAAAATGAAAGTAACATGGAAACTGGCCAGTATGAAACGTACCCTCTGCTTAGGGTTACTTGCTGAGGCATTGGTTCACCCTGTCGCTGGCAACCTCGGTTCCCTTCGTCCTTCTGTTCAGCTACTATTGGATCATTCCAGAGTCGCCTCGATGGCTCCTCAGCAAGAACAGGATAGACGAGGCGGAGGAGATCGTCCAGCGGATGGCCAAGATCAACGGAAAAACAGTGCCTAGCAATTTTCTCAGGAAAATGGAGGTAAGATTCATCGTGGAACTCTTCTTGAAAACTTTAAGCAAGATAGAAATAGGCCTGGAACAAACTGTTTATTAAAATCAAAGTCAGGATGAGTCTCGATCCGAACGTTTGAGCGTCAAGCTGCGAATATGTAATTTACCCGTTTGTGTAACCGTTGTTCCAGGTGGAGATTCTGAGGAGGCAGGGGATCTCCTGTAACGGGACCAACTCCGGGGAAAACGAGACGATGAACATCGAGGACAGGTCGCCGCCACCAGCAGCGACGCCCATGGACCTGGTCAGAAACCCGAACATCAGAAAGAAGTTCTTCATCCTGGCGTTCGACTGGGTGGCGAACGCTGTCGTTTACAACGGGTTGTCGTACAACACCACGAACCTGGGTGTCTCCGATTACCTGGCGTTCTTCATCGGTAAAGCTACTACGAGTCCACCTCTCGTCGGAGACCTTGACGAAATTGGAACATTAAAATTTGTCTGGTCGGGGCATTTGCAGGTGGATTGGTAGAAATACCGTCTTACGTCGTCACGTGGTACGCGATGGACAAGCTGGGCAGAAGATGGGTTCTGTGCCTGACCATGCTTCTAGGCGGGGTCGCCTGCGTCTCCTGCATGTTTGTTCCCGAAGGTACGAATTTCACGAGTCCCCTTTAAAATTAACGCGTAGTTTTTCCATCGTTTAAACTTGGTAGGTTCGCTCGTTGCTATCAATCTACTCGTATGTACTCTTTTAAACGTTGGACAAACAAGCGACCGAGGTAATTTTTTCGATGGCGTCACAGTTCCGTTGTTTACGCGAGAGAACGGGAACGGAATCGAAATACGTAATTAAAGATTCAGAGGAGAGATCGTTGTTGCGTGATAATTCTCTCGATCTCGCGCGAAATCTCGTTTAGATGCGAACACAGTTTATCGATTCGACGGACAAACGATATGGTAAATTGAAATTCGTTAGATGGGAGGATGACTTGAACGTGTCGCGTGATAATTTTTCACAACTTGGTCGCAACCGGGCTGTAAACCTAACCGCCAAGTTCCAGCTGGTCCAAGGAAGTTATTTTTCTTACCACACACTATACGCGTATCGTGTCTGTCGTAGCAGACGCTGTCTGGGTGACGGTGTGCCTGGCGATGATCGGGAAATTCGGAATCGCCGCTTCGTTCGCCGTGTTCTACGTGTTCGTCGGGGAACTGCTGCCGACGGTGCTGAGGTCTCAGGCGATGGGCATCGCCTCGTTCATCGCAGGAATCGGTTTGCTGGCGTTTCCGTACATCGTCCACCTAGCCGTCTACTCGAGGGTTCTTCCTCTGATCATAATGGGCACGCTGAGCGTGGCCGGGGCGCTCACGTCCATCTTTCTCCCGGAAACCCTCAACATTCACCTGCCACAGACCATCGAGGAGGGCGAGCTCTTCGGGGCTGACTTCAAGCTCTGGTCCTGCCCAACGGTACCAAAGTCAGTACTCCTCCTCCCTCGATCATTGCAGATCGTTGATGTCGTCACTCTACAAAATATCAAATTGTACCATTAATGGAACAGTCGCTATCACCCGAACTTGTAGAATCACTCGAGTATTGCGATAATAATCTTCTCCGTTTAGTACCTTGATCTCCCTTTTGCTAGTAGAACAGTCGTCGTTTTAATCGACAAAGACTGCTACCGAAATTAGCAATTGGGTCTGCAAATGTTTCTGGAGACCCGAAATGGCCAGTTAAAAGTGGCGACGGGTGGGTCGCGGCGTGTTTCAGAAAGGGGAAGAACTCGGACAAGTGCGAGGCGGTACCGCTGAGGTTTCTGGTGAACGGCAGGCCAGGGAATCGCTCCTCGGCGGCGTCCAGGTCGCAGGAGGTCGACCAGGAGGCGGACAACGCCTCGTTTCAGGCCTCGAACGGCCAGGAGGAGTCTCGAGCGTGGAAACCGAGCGCGACGGACGGCAGAGAGGAGATCGCGGGACTCGATGAAAAGTGCGTGGACGCGATAATCGTCGTCGAACAGAGAAGGACGCAATGAATCGGTGGCTGCTCGGTGCAATCGCCCCTCACGACTTTGTATTATAATTATCAGTATAGAGAACGCATCCGTATTTACTTTGTTCGTTTATTGCGACCGTACTTCCCCGCGCTGCAAAGACTCTCGTACAGCGTGTCGCGAGTGTCGTTTGGTACAGGGTATCGCGACCGATGCCGTCGATTTATTCTCGTAGCGGTGCACGATCATCCGGATAACACGGATACGCGAAATTACGAGACAACCGCGGTCCTCCGTCCGTTGATCTTTCACCCTCGGGACGCGTTTAATTCGATTCCAGATTATATTTGAAATCTACTCCCCTGGTCGAACGCGACTCTCCTTGGTTTTAAGGAACCTCCGATGATACAATCGATATTTCGGAACGCGGAAAAGCGAATACGCGCGCAAAATAAAATTGTCGCGTGCTCGTTGGACGGTTCCTTGTCGCCATGGTGAAACGAACAGTCGTCTGTTTCTGTTTGCCCGAGACATTTTGGACGCGTTCTCGCTACACCTTCGAGCCGAGGAGCCACGAGCCTAAGAACCTCGTCCTTGAACTTCCTAGCGGACCATCCTCGCGGTGATCCGGACAGCCGCATATCACCGGGCGTTTTCTGCACCCTCGTCGACCTACAAGTCGACAAGATGCGGGAAATCGTGCATATCCAAGCCGGACAATGCGGCAATCAGATCGGTGCCAAGGTCAGTGTCCCCGTCGAACTCTCCAACTCGTAACTCCGACCTCCGAAAGTCCAAGGACTCGACCGTGAACTTTCGCCCCCGTTTTACGACGCTGTATTCGCGAATTTAACGCGTCGACGATCGTGAAATCTAACCTTGCGTCGCCATGCTCGATTCACGTATACAGTATTCTATTTCCGGGGGAATGAAACTTGATATCTACGCGATTCCTCCTTAACGCGATCGACTTTGTATTCTCGATGAAAGTGAAAAACTGAGTGCTGCGAGTGAGAAAGAATCGGTGAAGGCGACTGTGAGAAACTAACAGGGAGAGACCACGACAGCCTAACAGGGGATACTGTATACCGTGTATCGAGAAACATCGAGGCCCGGCAAGCTCGGGATAGCGATTGGACTAATTCATTTACGCACTCAATACTGATAATTGATATTAATAAGATGTACTTGTTGACATTTCATGGCATCGTAAGATTACAATTATTATAAAGCAAACTCGCGAATCGTTTCTCCGACATCCGACAGTGTCGAGTAACCGAACGTCAGTCCCATCGCTAGCGAATGTAATAGCGTCTCCGCGGTCTGAAGAACATGCATCGTATTCGAAGCCGTTTGACAATTTTATTTTCGAACGACAGTTCTGGGAGGTGATTTCGGACGAGCACGGCATCGATCCGACCGGCACGTACCACGGGGACTCGGACCTCCAAGTAGAACGTATCAACGTCTACTACAATGAGGCGTCCGGTGGCAAATACGTGCCACGCGCCATCTTGGTCGACCTGGAGCCTGGCACCATGGACTCTGTACGCTCTGGACCCTTCGGGGAGATATTCAGGCCGGACAACTTCGTGTTCGGGCAATCCGGAGCTGGGAACAACTGGGCCAAGGGTCACTACACCGAGGGAGCCGAACTAGTCGACTCTGTGCTCGACGTTGTACGCAAGGAAGCCGAGAGCTGCGATTGCCTACAAGGCTTCCAACTGACCCACTCTCTGGGCGGCGGTACGGGATCCGGAATGGGCACTCTGCTCATCTCTAAAATCCGCGAGGAGTATCCCGACAGGATCATGACCACGTTCTCGGTGGTACCGTCGCCAAAAGTATCGGACACCGTGGTGGAACCGTACAACGCGACGCTCTCCGTCCACCAGCTGGTGGAGAACACCGACCAGGCTTACTGTATCGACAACGAGGCCCTCTACGACATCTGTTTCCGCACCTTGAAACTCTCCACTCCCACGTACGGAGATCTGAATCACCTAGTGTCCGCCACGATGTCCGGTGTCACGACCTGCCTGCGATTCCCTGGACAGCTGAACGCCGATCTGAGGAAGCTGGCGGTGAACATGGTACCGTTTCCGCGTCTCCACTTCTTCATGCCCGGGTTTGCACCGTTGACGTCGCGGGGCAGCCAACAGTACAGGGCTTTGACGGTCCCGGAACTGACCCAGCAAATGTTCGACGCGAAGAACATGATGGCCGCCTGCGACCCCAGACACGGAAAATATCTGACGGTGGCCGCCGTGTTCCGCGGGAGGATGTCGATGAAGGAGGTGGACGAGCAGATGCTCAATATACAGAACAAGAACAGCTCGTACTTTGTCGAATGGATCCCGAACAACGTAAAGACAGCCGTCTGCGACATCCCGCCACGCGGTTTGAAGATGTCCGCCACGTTCATCGGAAACTCGACCGCCATCCAAGAGCTGTTCAAGAGGATTTCGGAACAATTCACGGCCATGTTCAGGAGGAAGGCGTTCCTCCACTGGTACACCGGCGAGGGCATGGACGAGATGGAGTTCACCGAGGCGGAATCGAACATGAACGATCTGGTCTCGGAGTACCAACAGTACCAGGAGGCTACCGCCGAGGACGAGGGAGAGTTCTACGAGGAGGAAGAGGCGGAGGAGAAGTAAAATGGGTCCTCGATCCGCGCCGAGCAGGAAATTACTCGTCAAGGTTCTCGAAGATGGCCGCGAATCCACCAAACTATACCAAATTCCTCCAAAATGGGTTGTAGCTTTGTATTCGTATTAGCGGACTTTCTTACTACGGTTTTTTTTTTCTCATCGACACTTTTTACGACCGACTTTTACTTCTTTTTTTTTTTTTGATCGATTTTTATGCTTTGGTCGACTTTACATATACATATAATATATACGTGTATACATATCTTGTAAGTGATTTAGAGAAACTGTATTACCTTTGTTGAACATTTAATAGAGATATTCTTTATGGTACATAAATGGATAATGCGTCGTGTGTAGATTTCGATCGACGCTGCAGGGATCCGGAGCGGTCGAAGGAGCCCAAGGTATGTATGTATCGCACGAAGAAAGAATATGTATAATCGTAAAACGAACAGCGGTAACGAGAAACTAACGCATATATTCATCGACATAATCTTCGATATAATACAAATAAAAAATAACTTCTTCGTCCGTTGGAAGTTATATGTTTCTTTACGTATTACGTAAGTATTTGCACCGAGACACGTCGATTTTATAAAATTCTTCCTTTTCTCCCGCATAAACGCGAGTCTTATTATTATTATTCGGAGTTGTTCGTTCGAAATTCTCACGTTGAAGCAACTTGTACAAAATTTTATTATCGTTATAGTAGTGATTCCGGAGAGGGCTGTAATCAGGGCGCGAAACACCTGTACATTTTTCTCCAGAAACCTTTTCGTTTGTTCGTGACTCGGCAACCGGGATCGATGAAGCCAAGGCCTTGGTAAAAATTGTCGATCGCGTATTATCTCATCGTTGCCTCGAGGACAAACACTTAATTATTGCGTACTCGTTGCGGAACGAACATTATTGCGCGCTACTCCCGCGATTCGATCGTCGCGATTTCTTTCGAAAACCATAGGTTTATTAACGAAATATCGGCGCTATTTTGACACCGACTCCTTCACCAACAACCTAGAACACTATTTCGGGCATGGGTTGCAATTTTTAATACTATAAGAATAGCTGCTGTGTTCTCGAAACAACTATAGGGTTTTTCTAATAAAATATAACGAGAGCTCTAGATATTATCGATACAACGATGATTGGAAAACAACGATCGAACTCGATTCTGGACTCTGTGGCGGGTTACGTTCACAGTTCATCCCTTTCGACCCCCAAATTGGTAACATCGTTGAAAAATTTTCGGTAAAAAAAATTTCAGTTTAACAGAACGCAGATATAGAGAAAGGGAAAAATGCGGGAAATCGTGAACGTGCAGCTGGGTCAGTGTGGAAATAACGTAGGAGGTAAGGTAGGACGGTTAACCTCCGCTACAGTTTCGGGTATTTTCCATTACTCGTGCAACGAACGAACGGCATTTTCCTCCTAGTTTTGGGAAGGAATCGTCGACGAGCATGGTTTAAGTCCCGATGGAATCTTTTGCGGCGAATCGGACCTCCAATTGCAGAGAATAAACGTGTACTTTACGGAAGCGCCAGGTATCCATCGAATCTATGGCTCGATTACTTAGAAACGATTCTCGGAGGTCGTGGTCTGAATACAAAGCGGCGCGATTTATTTAAACGAGACGGAGCTACGGAAGGATCTTTATTGTATCTTCCACGCTATTAACGCTGCTACGTCAATTTGTTATTTTGCGGTATTCCTAATGCCGGCGACGTTATTAAAAAAATTAGGATATAGGTTCGTTCCGAGAAGCGTTCTAGTCGATCTCGACTCGGGAAGCTTGAACTCGTTGTTGTCGGGACCGTTTGGTAGACTGTACAAACCAGACAACTTTGTTGCGGGGCATGCGAGTGCAGCGAACAACTGGGCCAAAGGTTACTACACCGAAGGCTCCGAACTAGCCGACACAGCGCTTGACATTATTCGCAAGGAGGCTGAGAACTGCGACCTGATACAAGGTGATCGCCATCCACATCGAAAACTCTAGTTTGGAAGTATTTCGTTGGAAATCGTGATTCCTCTTGCAGGTATCCAAGTGGTGCATTCGCTGGGAGGTGGCACAGGTTCCGGAATGGGTTCCTTGTTGGCTACCAAGATGAAAGAAGAGTACCCAGACCGGATTCTCAAGACTTACAGCGTGATACCTTCGCCGATGATGTCGGACGTGGTGGTGGAGCCCTACAACGCGATACTGTCGATTGGAAAATTCATGGAGTTCACGGACCAAACCTATTGCATGGACAATCAGGCTCTGCATCACATTTGCACGCGAGTATTGAAGATTTCCACGCCCACGCTCGCCGACGCGAATCACCTGATCGCCAGCTGCATGGCCGGCATCACCGCCAGCTTGAGGTTTCCTGGACAACTGAACACCGACCTGAGGAAGCTGCAAACGAACATGGTGCCGTTCCCTCGGCTACATTTCTTCGTTCCGGGATACGCGCCGCTCACCTCGAGGAGCTCCGCCCCTTATCAGATGCTTTCCGTACCTGCGCTCGTGCAACAATTGTTCAGCGGCAACAATATGTTGGCAGATTGCGACCTGTTGCTGGGCAAGTTCCTCACCGTGGCGGCCATCTTCAGGGGCAGAATGTCCACCAAGGTTCGACGACGCAAATTCGTACCTTGACTCGTACGAAGAACGATTTATAGAAACTAGAATAGACACATTTTTATTCGATTCGCTTTTACAGCACGTGGAGGAGCAGTTGTTGAACCTAAGGAACAAGAACAGTCCTTACTTCGTCGAGTGGATTCCGAACAACGTTCAGACCGCGATCTGCGACATCCCGCCTCGAGGAATCTCCATGAACGCCACGATGGTGTCGAACACGACCGCGATTCAGGAGACGTTCAAACGCCTATCGAACCTGTTTGACGGTATGTTGAAGAAAAAAGCATACCTGCACTGGTACACGGCGGAGGGAATGGACGCGAGCGAGTTCCTCGAAACTCAGACGAACGTGCAGGATCTCGTTTCCGAGTACCAACAGCACCAGGAAGCAGCGGTCGAATCCGACTTTGTGGACGAGGCTCCGGTGTTGGACGATTTTGATCTATAGGAAAAGGTAATGATAACTCGTCCAAACAACGACGAACAAGATTCATGGTTTAAACCGACGACAGCAGAAATGAAGCAAGAGGGCCAACGATGGCCGGATACTTGAAAAATTCGTATATTTTCGTAAGGAACAAACTTGCGCTACATTTAAACGCGTGCCACGGTTATACGCATACTATATAATTCTGTGGATGTAACGAAGAAGGCAGATTTTTGGTCGAGGTGCTTTGGTGTTTGGTCGTTACAGATTGTCGTCCCGCGAGCCCTGGAAATTCGTTCCACCCATCGAGTGTCCCATCGCGTCGAGCGAGCACCGCGTCGTCGTCGAGGAGAAGGTTCGAGGAGGTTGTGTCCTCGCGAGGACAAGTTTCGCGTCGAAAAAACATGGCGATCAAAGAAACGAATCGATTACCATACACGCGTGCATATAAAAATATAAAAAGATTCCTCGAACGCGGCTCGCGTCGACCAAGACGTAGCTGAAAGGGAAAGAGACAGACACAAAGAGTTAGTAGAATGAACGGGAGCGATCGTGATCGGACGACTCCCGATCGGTCGGCCTACGAAGCCTATTCGATCGTAGATCTACTCTTGCTCGCAGGTCTCGAAGTCGTCGGCGCATTCCTCGGCCTCAAAGTCCTCTTCAGCGGTGGCTTCCTGGTATTGCTGATACTCGGAGACCAAGTCGTTCATGTTCGATTCCGCCTCGGTGAACTCCATCTCGTCCATGCCTTCGCCGGTGTACCAGTGGAGGAACGCCTTTCTTCTGAACATGGCCGTGAACTGTTCGGAAATCCTCTTGAACAGCTCCTGAATGGCGGTGGTGTTCCCAATGAAGGTGGAGGACATCTTGAGGCCTTTCGGCGGGATGTCGCAGACGGCTGTCTTCACGTTGTTGGGGATCCATTCGACAAAGTACGAGCTGTTCTTGTTCTGCACGCTGAGCATTTGCTCGTCCACCTCCTTCATCGACATCCTCCCGCGAAACACGGCAGCCACCGTTAGATATCGTCCGTGTCTGGGGTCGCAGGCGGCCATCATGTTCTTCGCGTCGAACATCTGTTGCGTGAGCTCGGGCACCGAGAGCGCCGAGTACTGTTGCATGGATCTGGAGGTCAGTGGCGCGAAACCTGGCATGAAGAAGTGGAGACGGGGGAAGGGCACCATGTTCACCGCCAGCTTCCTCAGATCGGCGTTCAGTTGACCCGGAAACCTGAGGCAGGTCGTGACCCCGGACATGGTCAGCGAGACCAGGTGATTCAGGTCGCCGTAGCTGGGATTCGAGACCTTCAGGGTGCGGAAGCAGATGTCGTAGAGGGCTTCGTTGTCGATGCAGTAGGTCTCGTCGGTGTTCTCCACCAGCTGGTGGACGGAGAGCGTCGCGTTGTACGGTTCCACCACGGTGTCCGATACTTTCGGCGACGGCATCACCGAGTACGTGTTCATGATCCTATCGGGATACTCTTCGCGGATCTTGGAGATGAGCAGGGTGCCCATGCCGGATCCGGTACCACCACCGAGAGAGTGAGTCAGCTGGAATCCCTGGAGGCAGTCGCAGTTCTCGCATTCCTTTCTGACCACGTCGAGGACAGAATCCACCAGTTCGGCGCCTTCGGTGTAGTGACCTTTCGCCCAGTTGTTCCCAGCTCCGGACTGCCCAAACACGAAATTGTCGGGCCTGAAGAGCTTTCCGTACGCTCCCGAACGAACCGCGTCCATGGTTCCTGGCTCGAGGTCCAATAGAATGGCTCTGGGCACGTACTTGCCTCCGTTCGTTGACGTCGCGACTGAAATAAGTTAAGCGATCGATCCAACAGTCTAATCAAGCTATCTTTAAATCGTGAATATAATGAAAAACTGAAAAGGGTTACAGTCTTGTATGTATTTATCTCCTTGCATGGAAGTTTCCGAACGTCGTCGAAACTCTAACATTTTCATGTTCACTGTCGGAAAACCAAGTCGTGAAATCGCTTCGCAGACGACGCTTAAGCAGTGGAACGTGAGCGTTTATGCCAAAGACGGCGCCGCTCGTGCTTCTTACGATGCGTCACGTCTTCCATATTAATCGGACCTAACAACGTATTGTCATTCCGACCAAAAACCCTCGACAACGTCTTTAAATGGCCGACGGAAATACGTATACGGATTCGAGCGACGCGTGGTTTGTAAATTAGCCGCGCGAGTGACTAATTTTTCGTTTCGAGAACGAGCACCGCGATATATCACTGGTCGCCTAATTTTAAATAATAATTTATATTCCTCACGTTCGCGCTTTCTATTTCATTTCTATTTCTAGACAACATACAAGGCGCGATTTATTCGATCCGAGCACAGGTTTATTTAAAATTTGTTTTTGTCTCTTTTAAATATGTACCTGCTTGCCGTGTAACTTTTAGAATGGACGCCGCACCGCCGCGCGGCACCTGCGCAGTAGCGAGAAATTCAACGGTCAATGACGCTTTTCGCGCGCGAATTTGCCGTCGGAGGGGCGTAGGTCGTGAAAAAAAAAAAACATAAAACCATCCACGCGAATTCTGTCGCGACGGATCGGGGAGAAAGCCAAGGGTGGAACATACAAAGCCGGCTATTTCGGTCGTAAAACGTGATCTTTCGTGTCGCTCGTTTTTCCCCGCGTTCCACGTATTCGACGCGAGAGTGGCTTCTATTTTCGAGCACGAAACTCGCTGAAACTCGCTGAAACTCGCTGAAACTCGCTGAAACGTTTGGTGCCGTGTAATCTGTAGAAAATCGCGATTGTGGTCGGTTTCGAGAGTCGAGAGTGACAGAAAGCACGAAGCACCGACCTTTTTGTTGGAAGAGACGCGTGATTCTGTTTAACGTTACGATTAAAATAAAGGAAAGTTACGGTCAATTAGATTCTCGATTAAAACCAGCGCTTGAAACGATTCCGAAAATTACTGTTTCAGACTCGAGTGTATGTACAAATGGCCGCCATTGTAGATCGAAAAGAAAAATTCGTTGTTCAATTGTAATCGACGAATAAAAAATGGCCAACTTCGGCGATGGATTCTCCTTACCGGAAGCCTCATTGTAGTAGACGGAAATTCGCTCTAGCTGCAGATCGCTGTCTCCGTGATAGATGCCCGACTGATCGATACCGTGCTCCTCGGAAATCACTTCCCAGAACTGCAACGAAAACGATCTTAAATTGTATGTAGAATTTTTAAATAAATTAAATGTAAAATATTCATTTTTGTGACTTTTGTTATTCGATATTCCTGGAATTTAAAATCGACGATAGCAATTATGTTTCGGGAGTTTTGAGAGAATCGGGTGAGGACAAGGATAACCCGCGACGTCCAAAAATAGAAAGACACGAAATTAACGCGGCCTCTGCCCCCTGGCTCGCGTCCCCACCCTCTCTGGGCCCCAAGTCGTTGCTCTTCTCCATTTCCTCGCCTTCACTATTTTCTCCCGCCTATTAATAGCCAGCGAACACGCCGTGGCGACGACAACGCGAACCGATCCCCTAGAATATTCCAAGCGCCAACATCCCTAGTGCCTTGGACCAATCAAAGAATTTTTCTACCTCCGCGTCCACGGTACACCAGATCTAACCCTGACCACGATCTGACAATTAGGGTTGAATCCAATTACTGTTCCATCTAAGGACCATTACTTTCTAAGGTCTTTTCTTTCTCCTCGAAGTACTATAACTTCCAATCGTTATTTTTTTTTATAACAAATCGAACAACCGGGTAATTTCCATCGACGATGGGAATCTGTGCGTACGATGCACGGGTCGCGGACAAAGCGCCGCGGCGACGCGCGAACTCGATCATTAATGACCAGTTAATCGTTCGTCAGCCAGCAATTAAGGCTTAATAGATCCGCGCCGCTACTCTGGCGAGATCGAGCCGAGATCTGTAAGCGAGGTACTGTTAATTATTAGAGCGGCACAGCCAATTAGGGTTGCCCGTTCTCTCTCCCGTCCAATTACTCCAACGGTCCAACGGACCTCGGCTTCGAGCAGAAACGAACGACGCCCCTTTGTTCCGAATGCGATTTACAGTCGGTCGGCCGACGCGCCGCGGAGGCGTCGTTTTCCACGTGGAAGAGTTTAACGATCATCCCGGGAACCGGGGGACTACGCCACATCCGCGAGAAACCTCTCTTAATCCTGGAATTACGGACGCCGCGAACAAACTGGAGATCGTACCGAGAATTAGCCATAGAATTTCCAACTTCTCCAAATCTGTAATTTACCCCCGCAATCGAAAAAAATTTTCCCGTGAATGATTTGAAATATTTTAATTTAATTTTTTAATAACTTTTTAACGAAACCTCGATCAACAAATTAATATTCTTGATTTTCGTTTTATTTTCGCCTCTAGAAACCGTTAAATATTATTTTAAATAATGCACGTTGACAAAAAAGCTATATTTGTGTGCTTATTTTTGTCGCAAAGGTACCAGAAAAAGTTTGAATAAAGTAGGCGACCCTGCAGGTGTGACCTCTCCTTACGAGTATGGCTTCCTTTCGTCTAGTCGCGCAAAACAAATACCACGACGACTGCTTCGGAGGTATGTACAATATCCTCTTAACTTGGGGGTTCCCATGTCTCCGAAAATACTGCAGTCGATTTTTCCGTTCGGTGCAACGGTGAATACAGGGGTTGAGAGGCTAGAGAGTCAAGAGTCTACCCCCTCCCCAGTCGTTAACAAATTTTTGACTCGAAAACCCCATATTTGGGGAGGAGTTGAATCGCGTAGAGCTGCATCACTATACTCGAGTAACCCCCGTGACCACTCTACACCCACGTCACGTGGTGTAGTTACGTTTTACGTTCGGTCAGGACAGTTATTTGTCCCCCTACTTCTATTTCCATGAGTCACGACGACACCAGTTTGCTGGATATACTAAGTACTTCCTCCCCACTATCGTCCGACATTTACCCTTTTTCTCTGAAAATTCAATCCCTCGAGCAACGATATCGTCCAGCCAGGCAACCAGCAGCCCAACACTGTTTATTTTAGTTACGAGAGTCGAGTTATTTTCAAACCCGGAATCTAGAAAGTGCCAGAAGCATAGGTTGCGGTAGGTAGGGACACGGACAGAAAACAGCACCCTGGTGTCACGAGTGTTTTCGAGTATGGTGTGCTTCCGCCAAACCGCGAGGAAAAAGCATCAGGGATATAGTTACACGCGTAAAATAGACCGAATCAGCGCAGCGAAAAAATAATTTCTTCTCCCGAGCGTATAAATCGATCTTTTCGATCGGCAAATTCCAAGAGCGCGTTTCTGCGACGGTTACTTGGTAATTGGGTAATTGGACGCCAATGCACGGTATCGATATCGGTATTGGCATTGCCATTTAATTCCGAAGCCAACTTGGCGATCGTTTCGTTTCCTTGTTCGTCTGGCTCGAGCGGTCGCGTCGTCTTTTCAATCGACGAGTTACGTGGTCCTTTGGCCTCCGTCTACCGGAGAAGAACGAGACTCTTTAAATTCCATCTGATTACCAGTCGCCGCCTTATCCTTAATTCGATTACCAGCTCGGTGAGATGTTTCGGTCTCGAGGGAGAGAGGAAATCTTTCCGTTTCAAAATAATGGACCACTCGCCACGATCGAGAGAAACGAACAAGTTAATGATTACGTTCGATCATTCCGTTAGAATAATTTCAAAATGCATTTCGTCTGGATAACAAATCGTGCAATAATTGGTGAATTTAAAAAACGTAGGCTCGATAAAAATAATTTAAAAAGCCTCCAGAGTCTAGGATCTATGTACAAGATAAAAATATCGAGGAATCTGATCGAACGACACGCAATTTCGGAACCTTTCGGTTGACAATTTACATACTTTCGAAGAAATAAAAATTCCGTGAAAATTGGAAAATGATATAGTTCCGGTGTTGGTAAGAGGAAAATCTCGGTGCTTGGGTGGAGGAATCACGACCTACCTTCGCGCCTATCTGATTTCCGCATTGTCCAGCTTGCAGATGCACGATCTCCCTCATTCTGAACGATGGCCGGCGGTCTTTCTATGCCCTTGACAGTGTCTACGGGGGAAAAAAGGTGCGGTCCGTAGCGAACAGCTGATGATATATCCCTTGGGGAGTAGTCCCGGTCCCGGTGTCCGCGAAGACGTGGAGCGTGTGCTTGGAGTGCGAGGAACGCGCGCGGAGAGAGCGTGTGCAGCGAAGCGGGTGTTCGGAGCCGACTGTCGTGTCGCGCAGGACTTCCTCCAGGCCGGAGTGGAACAGAGCGGAGTGAAGAAGAAGAGCCCTACGGAGCGAAACTGACGAGAAATACGCGCTCGTGTCGGTGTCCTGAAGTCGACTCTCGTCGTCTCGAGCCTCCAGGCTTCGCCTTACGGCGCGGAACGCGCGCAGGGGCAACGGGGGCAACGGGGGAACGGGGGGCGGGATGATCACCGCCTCCAAGTGCAACAGAGACGGTCAAAATTCTTTTTACAGAAATAAGTAACAGCCCGCGAAACGGAATCGGAATCGTTGCTTAATCTTCCAAGACTTTCTAACATCCAAATAATTAATTCGAAACCCTCTCTGTTGCATTAATTTTCCAATTTATATTTCGAGCCCACCGTTGACTTTGTAGTTGCTGTAAAATGCAAAGCAGGGTCAGAAAATGGCGACCCGGTGATTAGAAATATGCATGCGGGCGGAAGAAAGATATCTGCGCGAAAACCCGTTATCCATTTATTGGCTAATGGTGATCGTGGACGTTGGGAATCGAGAGCACGCACAATGGCGAACGTAATGACATTAGTCTCATATGTATATCTGATTTATTCAAACGAACCCCTTCGATAAGAAGGGTAGTGTAATCAAGGGGCGGTAGCGGTCGAAATATTGTTTTCCACGAAGCCTTGTTCGTTCGGACGAGCCTGCGATCCACGGCGCAACGTCGATACGCGTACGCGCGGAAAAAAAGGCCCCGAAAGAAAGTGCATATTTTCGACGCCGAGAGGCGAACAAAGAGCAACCAGTTGGCAACGAGACGGGGGCGAGCGAGAGATAGGGACGGAGTTACAATAATAGAAGGAGGGCTTTTACCAGCGGCAGGGGATCGTGAAAGCGTAGAACAGCCCGCGCAGCTGGAGACGAAGCTGCGTCTCGATTATCCTCGTTCTCGACGAGCCGCGATGAAAGCGAGCCGAGACGGCGACGTTTTAAAAGTGACTCGACCCATTCGGATAAAAAGATCCTGGAAGCTCCTTCCAAACGTTCAGACTTTCCAGCGATATCGAGGCCCCGAGAATCCAACGGAATAAAAATACATATTTCTGCCTCCTGGGAATCGCAAGGACGTAGCCCTCGAGAGGTTATCCTCGCTCGAGTTGCATTTCCGCTGGATGCGCCTACAGTCCATCGAACAGGATATCCTGTTGTCGTTTTTTTTCTTTCTTTTTCGTTCGTAATTGACAGGCACGGGCATCGAACGTTACGACATACGACAGCGAGTCACGCATTTGATTATTGGCACGACAGTCCGATTGTAAACGACAGGCCGATACGACCGATGCAACTTTAAATTTAAATAAAACGAATACAGTATAATATAATTTAAATTACCACCACGATACACCCAACAACAGAATCGATATTGCGGTTCGTTGGAACAAATAAGAGACGTAACAAGGGCCCACGAAAAAATGTCTAAAAATGTCTCGAACTAGTGGCGAATAGTTTCAGCAGAAACATAAAGACTACCGTCGGGACCGTAACGTATTCCGAAATCCGACTTCGCAGCGAAGAGGTTAGGTTCCTGTTACCCCTTCTAACTGTACTCTGCCAGTGAAAGATATTCCTTCTTTGCATTCGGCCACTAAACCAAGCGAGTTTTGAATAGAAAAGGAACTCGAATCCCGAGAGTTTCGCTACACGTCGACGTAGAATAATACAGTTCGTAATTAGCACGCGGCGACTCGGGCTGGATCGAATTCGCGAAGCGAGACGCCCGACACCGCATCGCTACGTATGCATGCTTGTATGTATGTATGTATAGCCGAACGATGAGTCACGTCGCCCGTCACGTCTGCCGCTTTGTCAAACGCAACTGACCAAAAGACACTTTATTTAATTAATTCATTTGTTAAACGGATAGTTTTCTAATGAACCCATTATTGTAAGAGACGTGTAACGTAATGCACGTAGATACTCGGTATCGAACGTATAATATCGATCGTTGTAAATAAATCTCGAAAGAAATACTTTTTGTTTGGAAGGCCCATCTATAAGTGGAAACAAACGAGAATTCTTCGTTGTCTTTGTATTAATGGAAATTGCGATTAGAAAATTGCGCATTAGCGACGAATTAGAGGAGAAAAGGGCAACGACATCGTAGTTATCCCCGTTAATGTGCGAGGGCGTTGGAATCTGGAAAGAGGAAGTGGTCGCAAATCAACGTTATTTGGTACAGTCGTGTTTCGATCGAAGCAACGATAATGAACGACGACACACACGTGTTGTAAAAGACGAATCAGTGTTTTAAAATTTACGAACCAATACTACTGTCAAGACGGACGACCGGTCTAATTAGGTCATAAATCTAGTTAAATATTTCGTTCACATTGCGACGTCTCGATTACGACTTGACCGTATCAATTAATCCGTTGGGCGACTAGCAACACAAACGAGTCATACAACTACACCTTATTGACTTCGGAGGCGCAATCTAACTACCATACCGACCTGAAAGTATATTCGATCGAACATAGTTAGGGCGCCATCGCGCGCTGGAAACAACGTACCATTTCTCGACAAACTTCGACGTTTTCCCACCAAGTTTTTTACACCGTATTTTCGGAAAAAGAATTTTTGTCTCATAAATGCGTAGGATTTCGAGGGTATGTGTATTCACAAAAAATGATTATAATCGAACCCCGCAACTGAAAATAATTTTTTCAGAATGATTTAAAATTTTTGAATTTCGTCGGTAAAGTTCACCAACTGGAATTTTTTTTCTCGAAAGTTTGGTCACAGATGAGGTATACGAGTAGACCTTTCACCACAGATTCTCTGTTTTTTATTTTAAATTGTAGTATATCATTTATTCAAAAAATAACTCGACAAAAACGTATTTGCGGCTCGAAATCAGTGTTATCTAAACTATAAGAAGAACGCAGCCATTAGCTCATATTATTTACTATGCAATTAATATAATTATTAATTGCATAGCAAATAATATGACCCAGGTCTCACCGCGAGGAGGTTGCTGCGAATGGAGACCCGCCCTAGCCTCGCCCCAACCACCCTTCCTTTGGCGAGGAATTCGAATACCTATCCAAGAGAGAAGCTATCGAAAAGTTAAAAACGAGCTAGAAAAGGAGCGTTCTTAAAAGAACTGCCCAATCAATATATGAAGAACCTAACAAAATGTCAATACATGTGAGATGATACACATGTTTTCTAAAAACGAAATTGAAATGTGCAACTGCACGCACGAACTCTGATGAAGAGATCGAAAACCTAACGAAATGTTGATACATGTGAGACAATGCAGCACATGTTTTCTAGAAACGAAATTGGAATGTGCAAGTGCACGTACGAATCCTGATTACTAAAGTATCATTGTGTACTTTATTACTAATTGTTCCTTCTTAAATAACAAGACACTCGTACAAAACGACGAAAGGATCCTGAAGATCCAACCAAGAAATGTGCAACTGCACGTACGGACCTTGCATATTAGAGCACTAATATGTATCTTAATACTAATCATTCGCACTTAAATTTACGCACACGTTTCGATAATATTTAATAAACGGCAGGAGAACGCTTTTTTATCTTATAATCTATATACATTTGTACTTATATTCTAACGCAATCTGTAGAAACACGAAGAAATATGAAGAAATATTCTCTTCTTGGTGTCTTCATCGATCCCACGATGTTTTTCTAAAACATACACTCATATACAATAAATATAACCGATATAAAACGAAGATATGACAAGATATTTTCTTCTCGGTGTCTTCGACAATCCCACGATGTTTTCCTGAAACAAAAATTCATACCCAATAAATATAACTCATATAAAACAGAGAAACGTGAAAAGATATTTTCTTCTTGGTGTCTTGATTAATCCCACGATGTTTCCCTGAAACATAAATCAGACAATAAATAAAATTGTATGAAATATTTCTCTTAGAGCGATCAAGATGGAATCTGTGTACAATTTCCAATTCGATTCTTCAATGATTATATATCCTGTAACAAGAACTTGTTCAAAGAATTAATAGCTGAAATGAAAGTGTATTAATGGACACAGAAAAAAATAATTATGTACCGTCACGATAGACTCATGGTAAGCGATCATTATTGAATGAAAATTTAAATTCGTCCCAGTGTTAAGATAAATAAGAAATAGATTGAAAATTTTATTCATTTGTTACCGTTGATTTTATTTTTCAAGAAAAATATTTTCAAGACGTATAAATTGCAATAATTATATTTAACTGTATTGAAAACTAAATTACGTTCGTGCAGAAAAAGCAATAACGAACGAAAATGTCGATTCTGCGCGGCAATTAATTCTCAATATGAAATATCGAATTGCAATTTGCATATCCTTTTGATGCAAGCATTCTATTTTCCATCAATTAAAACAATGATCGCGAATAAACTTTGATTTATGCAAAGAATACAGAATATTTATAAAAAATTCGCTATTTATAAATAACAATTGGATCGCAAACGTTATTATAACCCGTAAAAATTACCAACTCTAAGAATGAATAATTAATGATATAAATATCTATATAGCAATCATAAATTCAATATACAATAAAATTAATCATAATATAGAATTTTTAAATGCATCACAAATCTGTGATGAAAATACATTCTCATATACATATTACAGATTTTAATATGTTATGAAGAATAAAACAATTGGTCTATTCACAGCAGTATTTTCAAGCAGTATTTCTTTTGAGAGTAAACTCATAATTGGAATAAACGTCCACTCGTCTTAAATTCAAACAACCCGTGAGTGGACCATTCTTTCTTTCGCAACGCTAATTTATAAAATAAAAAGCTATACGCGAATGGTGCTTGTTATTCGTAAAATGAACCACGCAGGGTTCCTTTATTAATTAAATCGCGTGCACCTATATTCAATCATGCGCAACACTAATTTTAATAATGACGTTGAGCCATCCGAGGCTTTGCAGATTCTCAGCTTGCTTCTCGATGATCCTGGTGCAGTGGCCAGCGTTTTGGCCAGCTTTTGGGCATTGAATCGCAACTCTAATTAATAAAAAACGCGACAAGTCAAGATCGCAACGCTAATTTATAATATAAAAATTCCAAACGCGATTTATAACAATAAAAGCAACCGCGAATGGTGATTGTTCGCAACGCTACCCTGAAAAGTAAACGCGAAAAATAGTAATTCGCAACGCTAAGAGCAAACCGATCGGTTCATTCGCAACGCTATTCTTAAATAACGATAAAAGCAATCGCGTATGGAATTCGCAACGCTACCCTGAAAAGGAAACGCGAAAAATAGGAATTCGCAACTCTACGAGCAAACGCGATTATTGTATATTCGCGACTCTATCTTTAATGGAAATACATTTATGTTTCGCAACGCTAATGCAAATCGCGTTGCCCAAAAACGCTGGATCAGGTGCTGGCGTCTTCGGTTGTAGCTAGAAACATACATGCACAAAATAATCTAACTACTTCAAGCTACTTCAAACTACAATAGAGTGGCACATATGGGGATGAAGTTAGACGTTTTAAATATCGCAACACTACGGGGCAACAACGCGATAAATCAACAATCGCCACGCTAATTTATAATAGAAAAATTCCAAACGCGATTTATAAGAATAAAAGCAACCGCGAATGGTAATTATTCGCAACGCTACCCTGAAAAGCAAACGCGAAAAATAGTAATTCGCTACTCTAACAGCAATCGCGTTTACTAATAATTCGAGACGCTATTTTTAAAGCAAACGCCCGGTTCCTAGGTTTGCATAAAGACAATCGCGAATCGTATTTATTCGCAACACTGATATATCAACGCGATCAATATTTGTTCGCGACTCTACAAGCAAACGCGAACATTGTATATTATTCGCAACTCTAACTTTAATCAAGGGCTATTGGTACATGTGCATAGACATGTACTGGCCACAAAATAAACTAACTACTACTAGTACTACAATTGGGGTAGAATTTGGGCATTGAAAATATCGCAACTCTAAAGAAAAAATCGCACGATTGATCAAGATCGCAACGCTAATTTATAGTATGAAAATTGCAAACGCGGTTGATGTCCATCATATGTATAAAAAAGTAAAAAAGCAACGCGAATCGTGATTGTTCGCAACACTACCCTGAAAAGGAAACGCGGAAAATGGTAATTCGCAACTCTACGAGCAATCGCGTTTATCGATAATACGTAACGCTACTTTTAAAGCAAACTCCCGGTACCTAAGTTTGCGTGAAAACAATCGCGAATGGTAATTATTCGCAACACTACCCTGAAAAGGAAACGCGAAA